TCTCTTAGACCTAGACATAAGACATAGAATTCCCAAACTATGATCAAACCGTTTTTAAAATAAATTATTTTACTTCATTACAAAATAGTACCAAAATAATTAAAATAAAAAAATAGAAAATACAGTCAATAGAAACCATATCTGATTTATTTCAGATTTTAAACCCCATATCTAAGGAATATATATTTACATACATTAATATTTTACAGAATCCTAAATTTATATACAACTCTAATTCATCAATATTCATCTTTCATTTAATAATTTTTTTTTAATGATTGTTTAAACAATGTGTATGGTGTATCGAGCAGAAATAAACTAAATACGCTCTTCCATTAGACTGATTTAAAATGCACATTCTGTGATTTAAGGGGGAAAACTTGAAAGAACGGCTAGGAATATTAGAAAACAAAAAATCAATACAAAACTTTTTATTGGAAGCTGTTTGACTGATAGAGGAGAATTCGAGAGCAAAGGCAAAAAACATGATAAATTTCAAATAATGTAGAAAAATATTATCGGAATAGTTCTATCAAACTTTATCTTAAACAACTCGTCATAAATATATGTCTTCCCTTTTATGTGAAATTTCCAGACAACGACTCAGGCCTATCTCGGAAACATTCCATTTAATCAAAATTTAATTTATTTAATTTATTAAATTAATATTTATTTAATTAAAAATAGTTGTTTTTTGTTTCCTAATTTATCCAGCTTTCTGAGTAATATTCGTGGGGGTTGTTACAAACAATACTAGCGTATTTGAGGTTTTTAATTGTCTATCAAGCTAGCTAAACAAAGCTGAGTTTTTAAACAAGGACTTGATAAAACTTTATCGTTTCTGACTCAAAGGACACGTAGCTTTATTGCGGTACTTCATCACGTACTTGGCCTGATTACTGCCGTTCTTTAAGGCGGCTCTTCGAGGCGAAGCAGCCGTCATGAACTTTATGAGCTTAAAATGGGAAAGTCCTATCAAGCATTTGTAGGGAAGTTATTCGCTTCATTAGTTCAGGGAAATATTTACTGCCCCGGCCGTACTGGGGTTAATGGATATTTCTGTTTCCTGGTTTATCTATGATCCTTTCATTATCACTTTTACAATTGATTTTTCAGACAGAGAGATTAAAGTTAGAACTACTTATATTGAAGGGTAGAGTTAAACGGATATCTTTTTTTTTTTCGAATGAAATATGTTTTTGAAACAAAGATGTGAACAAATTATCAAAATGAACAATATGAAACGAAAAACATGTATAGATAGTTAATAAGTGATACCTCATATCTGCAAAACTACAAAGAATTTCTTTAAAACGCTAAAAAAAAATCAAAGGAAAATAAAATTGATAAATTATATTTAAGAAGAACGATCGTCGCTAATGACCTTGGCAGTCAATGCGACGTTAAAAAACAACAAAAAAAAAAAAAAGGTTTTTGAGTGCTTTTTATTACTCTAAGGAAGCATATCAAAATACAATGATGTTTTACATAGTCTCGACTATTATCCAACAGTAAGTTATTACGAGTTATCACCAGAAGAGATTTAATACACATACGAATACGAGATCATAGCAACCGATGACTTGCAGCTTCATGATGATAATGACATCAAAATATGTAATATCCTTTTTAGTCGGGTAAGATCTATTACTTCAAATGACAGAAATAATAATTATACTATTCATAGTTTTTAAATTTTGACCTTTATATTTTAGTGTCTATTCACACTTAAGTGCGTGTACGCCTCAAAGGTCAGTGTAATAAAAATCACAAATTAACTTTTGATACCTATTTATTGTACGTTTCGGGTAATCTGTGTCACCAGCAATATTTTATTCTCTTAAAAAAAATTGGGTAAGTCAATATGACACGATAAGGTTGGAACAATGTTTAGTTGGAAATCAGACATTGAACCTAGCTTATTATATTATATACACATACCCAATTTTTTGGGGGGAAGGAGCAGAGGAGAATAAAATATTGCAGAAGAAGGGGATACAAATTCCTCGAAACGTTCAATAAATAATTATCAAAAGTTAATTTTGATTTTTATTATACTGACCTTTGGGGCATACACACACTTGAGTGTCAAAAGACAATTATATTTTTTACTAAATTATTAAATAAGTAAATACAAAAATAATTTTCCAAAGATTTTAGTATAATTGTATTTTTCATATTAAATTTTTCTACCATTAATTAAGACTATCAAAGGGCAATAAAACGCTCGCAAATAGAATGTAATATTTAAAGAACTAATAGGAAGAACATGTGTTACGAAAATTCAAATGTGTAAAAAAAACGCTGCAAATTATTTCACAATGGTTTATTATTTCCAAACAACTGTACATCTAAAGTAACATTATCTTCCTATTTATAAAGAAAAATAAATAAAAGATGATTGCAATTATTAGACTTTTTTTAATCATTAAAAATTAATTAAACTTTTTTTTTAATCATTAGTAATATGCTAAAAAAAATATCATTACTTCAGTAACACATTCAAAATTTAAAAAAAAACAAAGGATATAACATTTGGTGTAGAACATATTAAAAAAAAAACTGGAGAACATATCTTTGCTCCTTATTGGCCGATATTAACGATTTTTTTAGGAAATTCTATAAACTTTTAAAATACCATACTATATCGACAAAAAGTGTATACTTTTTGAGTTTTTCGGAATTTAATTTTACTATCCCTCGTAACTTCTTTTCCAGCTCCATTTCGTTGAAGTATGTTATATAGATAAATTTAAAGGGTGTCAAGAAAATGACTTTAGTGAAGTTTCATTGAAATCGGTGCATTTGTTTAGGCGCTACAGTCTATAGCAACGCAGGTTTTTCGGCCGCTATTTTGATAGTAAAAGGCGGATAATAATGTCGATGAAGGAGGATCATCTTCGGGTGACCTCTGATTTTATATCCAAATTTGAAAAAAAAAAAAAAACAGGTCCATTAGTTTCGGAGAAAATACGCGGACGGCGGATGGACAAAAAAATTTTTATTCGTTTTTCAAATTCTACGCACCCTGAAACTTGAAACCTCAAATTTTGAGAGGCCATTAAGTTTTTGAATTTTTTTATCGATCACAATGGTTCATTATTGAAAATAATAAACCAAAAAGATTAATTATTTTCAATCATAATAGACTGGGTCGTTCAATTTTTGAATTTTAAGACAACCTAAGATTTGGGGAGTGAAAGAAATGCAAAAAAGAGTATTTAAAATATTTTTTCTTGATACAGTTCATTCAGTAAGATTTAAAAAAAAAACACATTGGGGATTTGGCAGAGTACATTCTTTCTTCTCTTGATATAATAAGCCCGAAAGGTTCGATGACACAAACAGCGGAAGTGGGCACTGTAGGCTGAATCACAATCTGTACACTAAAGGATATCTCTGTGTCAGTGGGAAGCACCGTAAATGGTAGTCGTCAAGGTACGCTGTTCCGCTGTGGGGTGGTTTAGTTAGCAATGGCTTTTTTAACATTGCGTACTGTGATTTTTTAAAGTTCCATTCATCGCCAGGTAAGGGGAGAATAGTAATCAGGTCAAATTCTCTTTGTGCATAGTTTCCGAAGTATCTTTACGGTCTGCTGGGTAACTTTCAGTAATTCTTGAACCTTTTTTTTCGCATATATGTAAAATTAATGTAAATTGAGTCTTATCAAAAAGATATTAGCTACTTTTTTTTATGCATCATTGTTTTTCTTTATTTGTATTTTCGGTTTATTATTTTCAATAATGAACCATTGTGATCGACCGAAAAATTCAAGAACTTAACCCGCTCTCAAAATTTGAGGTTTTACGTTTCAGCATAAGTAGAATTCGAAAAACGAATAAAAATTTTTTTGTCAGTCCGCCGTAAGCGCATTTTTCCGAAACTACTAAACCAATTTTTTTTCAAAGTTGGATATGAGAAGATGGCCTCGAGATCTCCTTTTGTAAATACATTTTTAGAGTGCTACCAGTGGGTAGTTTGTCAACAAATGATTTCATGCTATTATATTCTATTGTTCACATTTACTGAATGTATTTTTACTTGTAATACAGTTGTAAACATCAATAAAAAAAAAATTTGGATATAAAATCGCAAGTCACTCGAGGGTGATCCTCCTTCATCGACATTATTATCCACCTTTTACTTTCAAAATAGCGGCCGAAAAACCTATTGCTATAGACTGTAGCGCCTAAACAAATGTACCAATTTCAATGAAACTTCACTAAAGTCATTTTCTCGACACCCTTTAAATTTATCTATAAAACATATTTCAACGAAATGGAGCTGGGAAAAAAGTTACGAGGGATGGTAAAATTAAATTCCGAATAACTCAAAAAGTATACACTTTTATGCGGATATTGTAATAATATGCTTCAAAGGTATTTAAATTTTCTAAAAAATGAAAGAAGTTTCATAGAAATCAAAGCACTATTAGTAGAGATGTCGCGATTTTAAAATATTTTTGGTTTATAATTTTCAATAATGAATCATTGTGATCGACCAAATAATTAAAAAACTTAACCCCTCTCAAAATTTTAGGTTTTTTGATTTTTTATGGAATTTCCTAAAAAAAAAAAAAAAAAAAAAATCGTTAAAATTGGACAATTAGAAGGAAAGATATGGTATTTAGTTTTTTTTTTATATGTTCTGCTGCAAAGGTTGTATCCTTTGTTTTGGGTTTGAAATTTCGAATGTGTTACTTAGGTAATAGCTAATTTTTTTAGCATATTACTAATGATTAAAAAAATAGTTTAGTCCAATAATTGGAATCACCTTTTTTTATTTGTCTTTGTTACTAGGAAGGTAATATAACTTTAGATGTATAATTGTTTGGAAATAATAAACCATTGTGAAATAATTTGCAGCGTTTTTTTTTTTTTCAAAACTGCATATATATTATCTGGAATACATAATAATGATATTTCATGTCCATTTAACTATTTATACGCCTTTGCTTTCAATAAAATACAGACTCTATAAGTGATTTCGTTCTGTTTCAGGTCTGATAACATGGGATGCGCAGGAGTGCCATGTCGATCTCGACAAAGAACTACAGAACATTACTGCCCAAGCTCCGGAAGGAGAGGAAGCAAAGAATGGTAATTATCTATTTATTATTCCCTATATTATTTTTTTTTAATTCACAATCAAAACAACTCTATAAAAACCACGATATTAAAAAATGTTATATATGCCCATAAATTAGATAAAATAAAAAATAGTTAGAAACGTAAGACACTTGACAAATTTAGCCTCTGAGACAGAAACTGAATACATATTCATACTTACTTAAACCCATACGGACATACTCATCACAAATATACGGTATTGCTAAAAACACTCAACTACAAAAACTTCAAACCTTTCAATCAAAATTATTGTGACTCATAACAAAAGCCCCTTGGCACGTGACTAACAAAACTATTCATACTGACCTCCATCTTCCAACAGTTGACCAACGTATAACGACCCTTTACCAACGAATTTACACTAATTCAAACGGACATAATAACAGATTAATGCCAGGCATGGTCATCGCTGACATACCCCCAGAACATGAGGAGGAGACTAAAATGGCGTTGGATGAGAGATCTCTTTCCTTAAACAACCTAAGTAATTGAAACATGTCAGGGGAGAGGTGCTGCTGAATACTGTCCTTCCCCATGCCTATCTATTATGTCATTATTATTTCTGATATTTTCAGCGTATTTGCTAATTGTCAAAAAAAGGTTGACAGGCACAAATACATTTTTATCGCAAAAAAAAAAAATTATTTATGGTTCTACACATTTTAAATACATTTTGCTGAAACATTGTCCTATTACATAGTTGAACATAGCGTACATTTAAATCTTTCCAAAAGTTCAGGGTCCTCAGTTTATTTATCGTATTGGTATCCTATCACTTATTGTTAGTAAAACCAGAGTTAGTTTATTATCTGCTCATAAAGTATTGATGATCAGCATTTAAATTCATAGCTATTATTTGTATTTGTTATCCGAATTTCAATACTCATTCGAGGGTTCGGATTCCGACTTTTTGTTGATTCGGATACGTAAAAGATTGGTGTAGTCTCTCCATAACAAGATACTTGACTCTGGTTTTTCATAAAAGTAGTAAAAAAGTAGTAAGTCCTCGACTATTTATTTATTTATTTTTTTTTTTACCACATCCCTTCTCAAAGATAATGGTGTGATATTATAATCCTGTGATATTAAAATAATCCATGTTTTGCAGAATTATTTCTAAACTTTTACAAATAAAAATCAGGTTTCATATAATTCAGAGACAAGGTCCTATTTATTTTTTTTATGTATATGAAAAATATTTTTCTCAAAAAAATGCAATTACATACATACATACCCCATACATAAAATACATACCCCTATATATATCGAAGATAGTATATGAGATCTCGAAAAATATTTATAACTGAGAATGAAATCAGAAATCCTCCTGAAGGCCATAAGCTTAATGCAAACTGAGCGACTAGAGAATTCGCGGCGGCTGTAAGTTACGATGTTGCCTCAGTTTACCCAAATTTTTCGAGAGATATCTTCCAGACAGGACCGTAAAGTCCAAGACAAGCGGCGGTAAACGTCACTCCAGAGTGTAAACAATGGGACGTTCTTCTGAGTGCGGTTACATTCAACGCCCGGAGGCGGCTTCACTCAGAAAGGCTTTAGCACGAAGGAACCCTTAAAAAAAATGGTCTTCAGACCTGATTCAGCATCTCAAATCTATTCATCCTTAATTATATTTCAAAATATTCTAATATCACTGGCGAGGGGGTAAGGTATATTAGAACGAACAAATAATTTTTTTTTAAATTACTGCAGATAAAAATGTCTTAATAAAATCTAAAAGATACAAATTGATAGTAAAATTCCAAACAAGACTGATCATAATTAGTGAACTAGAAGAGTCCCAACGAATAGTAATAATAATAATGATAAATAGTCTTAAAAAAAAAAAAAAAATAGTGGAGAGTATTTATCGACCATAGAATATAACAGTTTTATTTAACGCCTTATATATGATTTATTTAACGCCTTTCAGTTTATAAAATGACTAACTTCAATTTCAACATTTTTGAGTAAAGTTATTTTTGTGATATTTCTAGTTGGAAAATTTATAATATCTGTACAAACATTGAGTAAGTTGATTCCAGAATAGGTGATTGTAGTGTTGAAATATAGACCTGTGTATAAAGGTATGAATTCTCCACTAGAATTATCACTAAAATTAATAATCAAAAATGTTGAAATTATATTCTGTCATTCTGTCAACTGATAGACTTATATGTGTGTGTGTGTCTCATGAGGTACATACTATAAGGGCATATTGCTCAAGCCATTTGGAATTTAAAAAAGTTAAAAATAAAAATTAATTTAATAGTACAATTACGCCAAAAGTTTGCGTTCAGTTTTTAAAGATAAGTCCTGTTTACCACAAAAATCATTATTCGCTCATCACTATCGACTTTTTTTTTTTTTATCATCGACTGACTGTACTAGATTCCCCACTTTTAGAAAAATGTTCTTGTTTAATTAGCTGTAAGTCCACATTGATAAATTTTAGGTTTATTACGAAATAAGCTGAGTATTACTTAATAGTTATGATTTCCAATTAATAAAAAAACGTGACACTTAAAAAAAACACAAAACATAAATTTTCTAATTTTTGTAGAAAATCGGGCCATTGTTCACATCAACTTTTTGATACCTCTTGAGGTCTTCTATCACTCCTTATATATATATATATATATATATATATATATATATATATATAAATTAAATAAATTAAATATTTCCTTAACGGTATTCTTTGTACTATAAGATAGTAAAGATTCCTTTGTTCGGCTCTCAGGAGCTTTGATGAATAAAATATCAAGCGGAAAATAGATAGATACGAGATATCAAAATTCGGTACAGTCCCTTTGGAACTATCCTGGTCTTTAATGTCACTATATACCAGCTGATTCAGGAAGACGGACCTTTCAGACTCAACATGTTCTCTTAATGTACTTACTATATTGTGACTGACATTGGTTTGAACCACTATTCACATATATTTTAATTTTAAAAAATACTAAATATACACAACCATTTATAATTATACAAACAGTCGCTGTCATAGAAATTGTTATCACCTTTTTCTTTTATTCTAATGTTGATAACGTATATTTAATTGAACAATTTTGTTTTTCGTTACTTATTTAGGTCAGAAGAAAGCTTTAACAATATTTCTCAGTTCAGTTTTAACTAATGACAGGTTAAAAACTGTAATTATGACCAGTTTAAAAAAATTGTCCTCAAAAATATTAAAATTGTTTTTTTTTTCTAGTCACATCCTTCAGGTTTGGTGCCATTTTCTCACAACTTTTTATATATCTATTTTAGGCCAAAGGTCACCAAATATACACAGTTTTTTTTATTTCCTGTATTCTTTATTCAACGTTTCGGCTTCAGGAGCCATTTTCAAGATCCTGCAAAACTAATTTTAATTTAGTTTTTACCATTCAAATACATCCTTATCAGGCACATATTATTTAATAACTATAAGTAATACAATCAACCCAAAATTTATTTTTAATTTTGAATAAATTAAAAATAAAATTTGCGCGGTGCATGGTAGGTGGATGATATAAATTTATTCAAAATTAAAAATAAATTTTGGATTGATTGTAATACTTATGATTGTTAAATAATATGTGCCTGATAAGGATGTATTTGAATGGTAAAAACTAAATTAAAATTAGTTTTGCAGGATCTTGAAATTGGCTCCTGAAGCCGAAACGTTGAATAAAGAATACAGGAGATAAAAAAACTGTGTATATTTGATGACCTTTGGCCTAAAATAGATACATAAAAATTATTTAAATTGTGACGTTACAAGAAGTGAAGGATTTTTTAAGGGAAATGGTAGCGAGGATAGGATACCACCAATCAAAAGTAGTCATAGTTTTGAAAAAAAAAATAAGAAGGCGCTATGGAGCAAGCTAAACAAAGGAACCGGGAGGAGAAAAAACAAACAAACAATTCGACAGCTTAATGATGCCATGGTTTTTATAATATCGATTTAAAACTGGCAAATAAGTATCCAGAGATTTGGTAATCTGGTAAATAAAATAAAATAAAATTTTTACTAGGTAATGCAATTTCTATGACCGCAGCTGGACATATATATATTATCTACCTATATTTTAGTTAGTTAAATATACTGTAATGGTTGAAGAAACAAGCAAGTATTCTACTTTAAGATTTATTTTTAGTAAGTTGAAGTTCTAATTGCGTGAAGATAAAACATGAGAGTGCCTCCGGCCCGAAATAATTCGGTCCCTTTGAGAAAGTCTATTTAAAAACAGCAATTAACTTAATCGGGTGAACGTTTTAATGCTTTTAAGAAAATTAACACTCGGTTGGTAACAGTTCACGAAGGTCGTTCAGAGCCTTGAGTCCCATCTTTAGCAATTAAATTGGAAAATGAATTCCATAGTCACTCCGTTTTTATTCTCGACAAAGAACTGAATAAGTCTAGGAATTTTATAAAGCCGAAGACCTCCAAGAATCTTATAAAGAAGATCTCTATCAAAATACAAATACCAACTGCATTGATTCCTTGTGACCTCTATAAGTTCGATGGCTTACAGTCAGCTTATACTCCTAAGTTTCTGGGTGCTTTGGCACTTAACAGGACTCTCACAAGACCCTGACACCAAGGAAGGTAAATCCCCAGATTAATGAACAGTGTTGGAAAGTTGGTAAAATTTAAACGATACTTAATATGAATTATACTATGGTTATTCGTAATTGAGGTTATATTAGATCACATTTTTTTTTTTAATGAAACGAAAAGTCATGTAGAAATAGCACCGAATCATTTAGTATTTCAAAGCAAATTCAATCCGTCTCGCGAAAGTTTCTTTGATTTCATGGTAAAATTTGAAAACATATTTAAAATAAAGAATTTAGAAAATTAATCCCACACAGTCTTATTGCATCATTTATTGCATGAGTTTATTCCATTTGAAAGTTTAGGTTTTCAAAAATAAATAAAAATTTGAAAAATAGATTAATAAAGAATAATTGTAATTCCAACGAATTTACAATACACGAGGTAAATTTCAATAAACCTTGGCTGAAGGATATAAAATGACTGAGTTGATTTTGCACCAGACTGCATGAGCATTTATTCGGCAGGGTTTGTATGTTTACCTAAAATCATTAAACCACGACGTTTCCTTCCGTTGATCAACTTTTCTCCACCCTCAATAAAGCCCATGAAGTTTACACCTTTTGCCGGGTCAAACTTCAATGAGTTTGTAGTTTCGTTGTACAGCCGGTGGAACATTTTATTCACATCAAAACTAACTCATCAGAATTCCTGTTTCAGATATTTATATTAAACAATGAAAGTTCTGAGTGCAATACTAAAAGCCAATTGAAAGGCTGGCCACTATGTAGATACTATAGCGACCTTCGATCGCATTAACTTCCGTGATTTATAGACTCCTTTTTATCAAATCATTAACATCCAGTAAAAACATCTAGATATTAAATTCATCTAATTTGTTAATGAAAAATAATGAATATCAGAATCTACTGAGAATAGTATGTGGTACAGACCCCTTTTTATCAAATAATTAACATCCCCCTGAAACTTCATAAAAAGCTTCATTTCATAGTAACCTGCAAATATTTTATTTACGAAAATTCTCGGAATTGGGAAGTTTTCAATCTAGAGGCTGGCAAACTTTGTCTAATTAATTAGGCACTAAAAACTCGTAAATACCCCTTTGCTTTTCGCTTGAATCGTAAGATAATTTGATTACAAAATTGATAAAAAAAGGTGGCATACAAAAATATTGGGCCGTTTGGCCTATATAAATTCGTTATTTTGAGAATTTGGAAATTTAGGTCACGCCAAACGGCTCAATATTTTTGAAGGCCACCTTTTTTCTCGACTTTGCGCTCAAGTTATCTAACGATTCATGTGGAAAGCAAATGGGTATTTACGAATTTTTAGTATCTAATTAATTAGAAAAAGTTTGCCGACCTCCAGATTGAAAACGCCCCAATTTCGAGAATTTTCGTAAATAAAATATTAGTAGGTTACGATGAGATGAAGCTATTTACGAAGTTTCAGGCAGATGTTAATAATTTGATAAAAAGGGGTCTGTACCACGGACTATTCCCAGTAGATTCTGATATCCATTATTTTTCATTAACAAATTAGATGACTTTAAGATCTAGTTTCTCTCGACCCATGTTTTACTCAACAGCTGGTAGCTTAGGACAGAACATTTGCCAGTTTCACTCTATAAATCGCATCCAGTCACCAGAATACCCAAGAATTGTTATTTATAATTAATATAATTTATAATTGATATTTCAGGAGAAAGGCTGATTCAGTTCGCCTCCGAAAACTTGGTGACTGAGGTGCTGATCCACCCGCAGCTCAACACCTTGGTGCAGTGCATGAGGAACTGCCTCAGCAGCTTCACCAGGCACCGCCACATCATACACGCTGGTTATACTTCTGCTGGTAATGGAGCCTGGGTATTGCAAGTAAGTTCGCTTTATTTAGTAATAATTACTAGTTATAGGCTTTATTTAACTGAATTTTTTTTTTTAACTACGTTGTATGTCACGATAGAAGTGAAAACATCAACAATAAACAAGGCCGGATTAATAATATGAATTATACATTTTTCTTTTGTTCTATTTTCCCAAAGTAGTAACGTTTACAATACATACAATTATAATTGTGCATAAACTATTTTTTGTCCTATATTCACAAAGTAATAACAGTTACAATATACACAATTATAATTGTGTATAAATTACTCTGGTGAACTCTGTTCTGATTGATCGTCTTATATATATATTTTTTTTCGGTTGGTTCTACAGACCTTGTAGATCTTTGGTCGCCTGAACCAGCCTTCTCCACCTCTGTCTACATTGGGCTACTAGTGTTGCCCAAATGCGAGACCCAGACGAGTCTTGGTCTTGCAAACTCAGTTTGGTCATGGTCTTGGTCTTGCACAGGAGTCTCGCAACAGTCTTACAGTACTGTATTTTGTAGATAGGAGAAACCTAACTAAGCCTGAATGAAAAATTAAAGGAATTAAATGCAAAACTATATTGGTTATACCAATTATTTACATATAGTAACTAAGATTGTCAAGTATTAGTAACTATTTTGCCTTAATTTTTTATTAAAAACATCGATTTTTTTACCAGTCCTGGTCTTGGTCTTACAAAGTGCAAGACCAAGACCGATTTTGGGCAACACTATGGGCTACTGCTTTCTAGTTTGCGGCATGAAGCTCAGCCGTATCTTTGTTAATCCTATCTATCCATCTGGTTTTTGGCCTTCCACGTGGTCTCTTGCCTACTACTCTGGCATTCATTGTTGTGTAAAGGCTGATGGATTGATACGAGCTTCATGCCCCGCCCATCTTAACCTCCTTGCCTTCATGTCATGAGATATTGACTGCCCCGTTTCTTTCAGCAGTTCTTTATTGTTCCTTCTCCTCCGTATGTCAAGGTTCTGGTCCCATATAGGTCCTGTAATCCTACGTAAAACTTTTCTTTTGAATCTCTCAATTCTGGCTCCTAGTGTGCCGGTTAGAGCCCAGGTTTCACAACCGTACAACAAAACTGGCTTAATTACGGCGGTGTACACCCTTATTTTTAGATTTCTGGAGATTTTTCTGGATTTCAGTACCTTTGAAAGAGAGAAGAAAGATCTGTTTGCACTTGTTATTCGCTGGTCTATCTCTGTTAGTTGATCATTTATTGAGGTTATTGTGGAGCCGAGGTATTTGAATCTGTCTACTTTCGGGAATGACTTTTTATGAGTCCACGCAGATCATGTTATTAGGGTGAATGTTTCGGCTAACTATCATGTATTTAGTTTTATCTACATTGATTTGTAGTCCGATTTGTTCTGTTTCTTTTAACAGAGTCCGAGCGAGTCTCTCCTCTTAATTACTTCCGAGGACAGCTATATTATCCTGTCATTCATATAATATTCTAAAAATGAAACAATAGATTTCATGATAACTAAAATATGCGATGAATGCTTCTGATTGAAATAAATTTGCTAAATATTCAACTGAAACTTTGTCAATCGTTGTTCCATATTTTCTTGTGCTTTCTTTTGGATCATTTGACATTCCAAATCTAATGTTGATTCCGAAAAACCATTCAGAGACGTTAACGTGTCTTTTGTGAAATTAACATTGATATCTCTAGTCAAAATCATTGGTAATGTATAAAACTTTTGAAAAGCGAAGTCAGTAATTTGGCAGTGATCCTTAACCCTTTGTGACTCTATACCTCGGCGTCACGTCGAGATACAATTTTGAATAATAGTCATTACAAATGGGGTGTATAGTTCGTATAGTTTTTATTTATTATAGTTTTTATTTATTATTATTTAGTTATTATTTTACTTTTGTTAATTTTATTTCTTTTTTGTATATACGGTGTGAATGTATTCATTTATCAATATAATTATTGTCCCTGCGACAGAATATTATATGTCTAAATAAATAAAAAAATAAAAAATAACAAATGAGGTGAAATGCTGGACATTTCCCTCTATTACAGTATGCAGGTCCGATTTTTAGTTTCTGAGATATTTTAATCCAAATACAAAAAATAGTCGACTCGAGCCGACATTACCCGAATGAGGGTTACATAACCGAGCATGACGACTTAGTCTCGTCCACTGCCTACAAAAAGAGTGCTAAGACGTTTTCACTTCAAGAAGTAAGCAAGACTCTTAAATGGAACATTTTAGAACTTTTCTCTTTTGAAAATAAAAACATACATGTTATTAGTAAAGAATCAAAGTCGTCAATAACAAATCGCATAGCTTGCAGAATGGACTTGACGATTAATTATCATGAACTAAAATATCATCATATGCTGTCCTAAAATAACACATTTTACATCAATATTCATTAATAAGACATTATAAAAGTGATCAAAATAATTGTTACTTAAGAGCTTAATTTTGAAATCTTGTACATAACAAAAGCCATGTTTATACGTTGACAGTAGACATAGTGACAGTTAGAAAAAATTTAGGAAATAGAACAGCTGACTGAATACTGCACAACGAAACAAATATAAAATTTAATCGGTATTTTAACATGGGTAAATCATTTATAGAAAATAAAAATAAAAAAATCTAGAAACTTAATTTCAATAACTAAATCAATATAAAGTAAATAACTAAAATTAATCTACATGGTACATTAAACATAAATAAATTATATAGTTTATGATCTTCCTCCAAGAAAAACATAAAAACGTTGGATACAATCAATTTAAAGACTAGAAATAATCGAAAGCAAAACAATACGTGTTTGAATATATATTTGTGGAAATATGTACATATTTATTCTCATTTTTAATTGTATATTTAGTTTATTTATTATAATTTTAGTTTATTATTGGATAAGGTTTTAATTAATGCAGCCAAATAAATGCAAAAAAAAATTCATTTTTGAGGACTCAATGTCTCAGAATAAAGATCAATTTTTCATTAATTAAACAGGCAAATTAAAATTCAATCAGTAAGAAGAAAAAATGTTTCGATCCGACCCGAACACTTTAAAACATATCTTTAAACACTGTATAAACACTTGATAAACACTGTATTTTTCTTTATGTATGCTAAGTACTTTAAAAAAATTAGAGAAAAATAAAATTAAAATTAACATTCATTCAGTAACGTCATAGACTAACTCTGTTTTGTTTTTAAATAAAAATTAAATATCTTATATTTACTATATCTTATATTTCTGTTATTTCATCATCCTATTTAAAGTTTCATTATCAATATTTAACATCTCTACTCTAGCCACAAGACTCATTGATATGAGTAAGAACTACATTTTTGTTATCTAACTTGCTTTAATAAAACGCTGGCTTGACAAAGGTAGAAAGATACGTGACTATAAAACTAAGCAGCGTTAGCCGATTGGATCGTGCTTGAAGGACCAGATGGTTTGGACCTTGGAAGGGCTCAAAAGATGTCTTTAGCCTTAATAGAATGGCCGCCAGCCGAAGGGCACTAAGTTTTTGTCCTTTAGAAATTGGAGCCTGGAGGAAGGAGGTAATAAAGGAAAGAAGAAAGACCTTCAAAGGATGAGGATCCTCTTCATCCCTTTTTCACCAGCGCCCTATCTCGTCCTTATTCTCAGCGATTCACAGACCTAAACGTTAGCAGTTCCGGACGTGATATGTTCTTCAAGTGCTTGAGTAAAAAAAAAAAAAAAGAATCCTTATGAAGGACCTCTCAGTTCAGTACCTCACTGATTAGAAAGTACTGTTCCTTAACAAACTTTAATGCACTTGTCCATTATTAATATTTGTTCCGTATAAATATTTGTTTTACATTTCTCTATATAATAATAATTTCTTTAGAGAGTGGTATAGTAGATATGTAAAAATAATATTAAAAAAATTGGTATATATTCTTTCAATATTTTTTAAAATATTAATTCGATATATTAAGAAAAATATCGATATATAGGGCCTTGATATTTTTATTCTTTAAATGAGTGTTCACATTAAAGTGAAGAACAGCATAATATAAACTAAAAAGTTTTATATATTTGTAATAGATGCAATTAAATGTTGCTTCTCACAAATAAATAACAATTTACCAACAGAAGTAATAAAAAAGGTTTTTCTATTGATAGCCAGGTTTTTCTCCCAACCTATTGAAAGACCAGGCGTCTATCTTATGATGAGCTGGGTGAGCCACATGAAGATCTCCGGTCGCCCAAACTGATAGCAAATAGAAAATAAAATAAATTTTACGGCAACTGTGCCGTAGGGATGATGAAAAATATCGATTTGAAGTTTAAGTAATGTTTTAACATTTTTGATCCTTCAAATTATTATTCAAAGTTTCTTTCTTTTAATGATGATGATTAATGAAACAAATATTTATACGGAATAAACACTAATAATGGACAAGCACACTAGAAATCATAACTGAACTGAAGATACCACACTTTCAGAAAAACTTCCTTGTTTGATGAGCTTCAAGTCTACATTAATTAACTTGTGGTTTGTTACAGAGTAAGTTGAGATTCATCCATAACTGAGTTAAAAGTATTGGGGACGATCCCTGATTTCCAGATCCCATATCTTCAGTCCAGTTGAGAGTTTATAAAAAACATTGCGAAGAATTCTTGATTTTATGAAAAACCGAACTTACCGTATTTTAGTTAAAAGTCCCCTTTAAATGGTTTTAAAATAGACAAGATTTACTTGTACTTATTTTAAATTTAATTTAATTTTCTATTAAGTAATTGTTTGTAACCTAAATTAAACATTTTTTTAGTTATTGCTTTTTATTCAAAATAAAACGTTTTACCCGTTATTCTAGAGAGGGTAAAAAACAATTTCTGACAAGTTTGATGTTTATTTTATGAATGTTGGGGACAATTCCTAATTTTAGTTTAATTTTAGTGCGTTCATGATGCTATCTATGGTGCCCATAGTAAAGTCAACTGACATCCTCCATTTCTTATTTATAGATTTTACAAAAAATGGCTCGGTTTTGATATATTTATGGTGATATTAAATGATGTCATATGAATCTATTGTTTTTTTGTTTTTTTCTATTCCTTTATAATAATATTTTTAAATTTATAAAGTAAGATGTTATCAATAGAAAAAACTTTTTTATTATTTCTATTGGTAAATTATTATTTCTTTATGTGAAGCAACATTTAATTGCATCCATTACAAATATATAAAACTTTTTAGTTTATATTATGCTGTACTTCACTTTAATATGAACACTTATTTAAAAAATAAAATATCAAGGCCTGATATATCGATTTTTTTAATATATTGAATTACTATTTTAATATGTTAAAAAATGTTGAAAGAATATATATATATATGTAAACTTACTTCAAATGAAACTGGAGTTTGTCATTGTTAAATCCATTCAAAGAAGACTTCTGAGCGGATAAGCTAAGCTGTTTCTGAAAAAAATGAATATAATATAATTAATATATAAGATAGAATAATATAGAATAGAATAGAATAGAATAGAAAAATAATTTTATTCTGGGACGAAGTCCCTTCAGAATAACAAAAAAGTACAGAAATTAAAATTTTACATCTGGCCAGATAAAAACAAACATAACAAATTAAGATAATGATAAGTCATTAAAGAAAAGAAAAGAAAAAAAATATTGGTTATACATACTATATACAAAATAAAATATAAAAATCTATATAAAAAACTCTTGAAACCATACTAAGATATTTAAAACTATGTACGATGTTAAAATATAAATAAACCCTTTTAGAAAAAATAAAAAATACAGAAAAAATAAATGTATATTCTTCTTAACAGTAAAATCTGTTTCTGTTGAAACAGAAAAAAAAAAAAAAAAGAGAAAAAGAAAGTCGAATCTATAATAAGTATTCAGGTCATGAGCTATATGTGAGTATGGTCTTATATATAATGTGTAATTTTACATAAAAGATTAGCTGGTGCCTGACTGTTTTTGGGACAGGAATTGGAATAGGAGGGTTTTGAATGTAGATAAGGATGAAGAATGTCGAATTTTGATTGGAAGGGAATTCCAGAAACTAACAGAACGTGCAATAAAGGAGTTTTGGAACGAGGCAGATCTGTGAGAAGGAATGTAAAGGTCGGAAGGTCGAGATCTTGTGGAGAGGGAGTGGACTGAGGACTTGAATTGGAGAAGATTGTAGGCGTAGGAAGGACGATGATTGTTGATGATATGATAGAGGAATGTACCTAGGAAATATTGTCTTCGAATGGAGGGGAAGAGCCACTCTAACTCAGTGTAATGGTGAGAGACATGGTAGTATCTCGGGGCACCAATTACAAATCTCACGATCTCACAAATCTCAATATACAATATATTGATGATAAATAATAATGATGTGATTTTATATTCCGTCGCCTAAAAGCACCCGTGTTTCCAGCAATAAAGACAACAATGCCTAAATTATTGCAAAGCAATTATTTCTTTTCTTTTTTTTCCATGACCTGGGATGTATAATAATAAATATAAAGCATAAACGCACTTTTTATTTCTTAAAAAGAAATGTTAAAAATAATGATTTTTCATAATGATTATGTATCATCTAAAATGATAATTAAACTGTTTTTTACCAAGTTCTCTATTAAAGGAATTGGACCGTATTTTTAAATGGCGAAATCAATCAACTATTCTTGTCCAAATTTTTAATATTAATATAAAGAAAACTACTTATTGCTTCAACTATTTTCATGAAAACATACATACAAGGATTGAGAAGAACGAATGATGACACACATAAAATTTATGGAAAATAAACATGACTAGACTTAATAATTCTAATTATAACTATAAATGAAATAACGGAAGTTTTTAATCAAAACTTTAGGATTTACTATATAAACTACAATAACATTCCTGAAAATTTAAATGAAGTAGTTAAAAAATTAATTTAAATAAATTATAAAATCTATTCGGAAGCATTTTTTTTTTGTTATAAATATCAATATTTTTTTTAAATATTTGTAAACAGTAATACTAAGATAACTAATATTATATAGGCATATTAGCAATTTTCCAGCGGTATTCCAAAATTTACTTATAGCCCTCCAGTGGCTGATTGTATTATTATTCAATAAATAGATAAAAAAAAAAAAAAAAGGTATTCCAAAAGAGGCAGAAGGACGTCGATAAACAAGATGAAGGGAAGATGGAGGGCTGAAGAGGAAGGGAGGCCTTATTTAAGTTATACGCGTCATTAGTCCTTTGTCGTTCCTCGGGTTGTCAGAAAACTTGTCCCAAATGAGGAAAACTTTACTTCCCTTTCAAGGAACGTCTGGAAAGCTCTATCTTCTTGCCTGATGAAAACTGTAAGAACACAAGTTCTTTGCAGTCTTCGCAACTTCAAGTAGAGACAATGAAAGCAACAAATGGAGTTCTCTGAAGGATGTCGAGGTTTACAAATTATGTTAAGACGGAATGGGTTAACATTCACTTCGAAGGAATAAAATTTAACTTCTCCAATCTGACAATAATAATATTAAATACAGATGACACTGAATAAACTGATATCGCAATGTAACGTACTAGGATAACATATAAGTTAATTTAAATGGGTATTATCTTTTATACATGGTTTTATCAATAGATGTGAATCTGAAGAATTTTTTAATTTAACATCGTCATTAACTAAATATTTTTGAATTTATAATTTTAAAACACTTCCAACTTTTCTTAAAGAAATATTTTACAGGCGGGATTTGTTATGTAATTCGTAATAAGGTAATTATTATATTATTTCTATCTATATATTGCTTAAATATGATATTAATAACAAAGTAACTTTACTATTCTTAGTTATATAAGGTTTTTTTATATATCATTCCAAGATCACTACAAAGAAACATTCGAATACTAGGGAAACGGTCCGCCGACGTAATAAGGAATGGGTTCTGAAAATTCAGCTAAATACATTTCACTCGACAATTTTAAAATGTTGCTCCCAAAACCGGTCTTTAATCATTTCATTGTTTCATTTCTGAATATTTCCTTCTACTCTGACATCAACCAAAGTTTATATTATTTACCGATTGAAAATGGTTTCATTTATAAAGCTTATATCCTATAAATTATCGTATCAGGATCTTGAAAATGTATATTTGAATATTTACTAGATTGTAACTAACTGTATCAGATACTCTAGCCACATTTTTGAATTTCACTATTACAGGATGGTACATATTCATTCTCCGACTTCGCGGATATGTACTCAGAGCACGAGGTGCAGCGAGTTCTTCGGGCTTATGAAGGGACAGTGAGCGTCGATGTCCACTGTTCTGGAGAAGGCGATTGGTGGGCTCTCAAGGCTAAGGACCCATTCTCCAAGGTAAGTTAAAGAATCCCAATTGCTACAAGAATATTAATGTGTTGTTTACTTACATTATTTATTTAACAAAGATAAATGAAACCTTTTAGAAATGAATTTAAAGTAAAAGAAAATCAATAAATTAATTATTAGTACCTCGGAGTTACAAACCATAGTCGGTTTTGGGAATCCGCCAGTAACTTCTGGCAATCATCACAATGAGTTCCGCACTCCTGGGACATTCAGGGCATCAGCTTTAATTCCGCCTCTCCACCTATATCTCTCGATCTTTCTCTACTCCTCCTTCGTAGGCAGGTTCCATTAGAAGCCTCCCACATAACTTTTCTTCACCCATACCCGCCACATGCTCCAGCCACCCCATCACAACTGGCCCAATTCGACAACCTGAATGGCATTTGGCTCATTAAATAAATCAGAAAACTTGTGGGTTGTCCTATAGGTTCCATCCCCCAATATCCTCAATAGGATTTTCTGCTCAAAGAAAAGGAGATTTGGTTCTCTATTTTTGGTTATTATCCAAGTTCCCAAGCGTTGGTATATCTACACAGGGTGAACTATTTTCCTGTTCAAATACAATTGTAAATTGAGATGGTTTGTCTTTAGCCTATATTAATGTAGGTATTGACGTCTCCCAAAGTTATCCTTATGTCATATCTTGGACATGTATCCAAAGACATTTCAAGGAGATCATAAAAGAGCTATTTTTCTTCTTCATTTGCTAATTCCGTGGGTATATGAAAACTTAAAATACTATTGTTATAGAGTTTACTTAAGATATGGATGAGACATATTAGCTGGTAGATTCCAATTAGAAGCCACTTACAACTGCTTCTCAACCAAAACCCACCATAGAACTTGTGTAAAATCTCATTGGAGCTATAATATATGGAATGTTTGTGTTCCTCAGAGATATTACTTCCTTCACAGCGCACTTCCTTGATTGCAACAAGGTCAAATTCATATTGTGGGGTCATGAATAGTATCGTAATTTTGTTATGGATAAAATAACTGTGTTATGGCCTTAGCCATAAATAAGAGAAATATTTAACTTCACTTTAAAAGTAAGATAACTTTCTTATAAACCCACTACTCCGATAAAAGCTAATGTTCTAATATTTTTTTAACTTATTTCGAGCAAAGTTGGGGGGAGGAAAGGGGACAGGTCCCCCTTTCCTTTAAGGTACCTTTAAGCTATGCCAAACATTAAAAAAAACTTTTTTGTACAACATATTGCATATGACACCATGTTTAAGTAACAAATATTAACCTCTCCAACGTTTTACATTAGTTACTTTAACATGGTGCGACCACATGGATTTTTAAAATGATAATCAAAGTTATTTTATTTTCAGTTCATATTATTATAAAATAATTAAGCGATCAATTCCATGTTGTTTATAATCTATTTGAATGATAATATCTCATGCAGAATACAAATGAAATAGATAATATTTTTATATTATATACAGATCATAACTCTTCTCATTTAACAGACTTTGAAGTGAATCAACAGCAAATTTTGATCAGAAGATGCTTGAATTTAGTTTAATTTAATTTAGCCTAGTTTATTATAAATTTTGTTTAAGGAAATTAAAAATTATTGATATATGAAATATTTCATAAATATTCCGATCAAAATATTGTTACTTGAATGAAAATTAGAAGATTTGATTAGAATGGTGGGCAGGAAAATACTTTAATGTTCTCTGAAAAAGTGAATGGAAAAGATAAAATAACAAAGGATTTAGCCTACAAATTTTTCTTGTTCATATAATGGCTTCAATTTATTTATAACAATTATTTTATAAAACTGGAAATTACACTGTATATTTTTAATTTGTCAATGATTTTGTTTTGTTTTTTCTAAAATGATATAATTAAATGTTCTATTTACTTTATAAAAAAAACTATGTTCCTTCATCAATCCTGATATAAAAAGAGATTGAACAACAGCAGTAGCAGTGACTAAAGATGCCATCCTGAATTTACTACTCTTCAAACATTCATTGGTAAATGTTTTACCAGTTTATTGTTTTATTTTTATACAAAAGTAAAGACAGATCAAACTTCAAATTAAAAATTTAAAAGTAACGTTTTCTCACCTCAATAATTTTATACAACAAACCATTTGAAACATTAGAGAGAGGGGGGGAACAAATCACTAGTGTATGCAATGTATGTTGTAATTAACTGAATTTATTTTGAGTTTTAATTTAACACATAAATAAAAATAGAATCACCTAGTTTTGTATTAAACTAAAAATTATTAAAAGAAGCTTCTGAATAGCAGAAATAAAATTACTAAGAGGTGAAATTCTCACTTTATTCTAAAGCAAACTAATTGATCCTTTGTAGGTTTCTAGAGTACGGCTGAACCCACCAGACAAAGGAACAACAACAACAGCAGTTCGAGACTTTCTCAACTACCTGAGCCAGTACCTGGTGCCTGCAGGGCTCACCGACCTTTTAGAACCATCGGATGTAGTTGGTAATATCCGATTCTCTCATCCGACACTATATGTCTTCCCCGGCGGTCAGGGGGATGCCGCCCTCTTTGGAATTAATGGGTAAGAGGATTGATATATAGTTTTAAATGAGATTGCAGGCTCAATAAATATTACAAATTTTCATATTTTTTTTAAAAATGCCCTAATAGAATAATAAAAATAGAATAATAATTGAAAAGCGGAAAAATTGTTGAAGGAAATAATACAAAGCCAACTGAGAGAATCTGATTCTTATAAATACCTATGAATCCACCAACTATTAAAATTCAATTCCAACTCGAAGAAATTCATTGAGGAAGAATTTAAATACAGTGTCAAATTAATATTTAAATCACATTTAAATGAATTAAGAAATTTAATTCGGGCATTGAATATGTGTATAATACCATCTTTAAACTACTCGTTTGGAGTACTGAAGTGGACAAAAACCAATTAGGAACAGTTGGATCACTTTTGCAGAGTCCAAATGGTGCTTTCAACAAAATGGCAGCCAAAGTTATCACAATCAAAGTTACATATTCCAAATAAAATGGCATTGCCAAATCAGCATCTTGAATTTATGCCAAAAGGAAGAATATCATCTTTAAAACTAAATTGTAAATCATACCTTCATCATCCTCCCAACTCTTACGTCATTAGATGCAAATTATGCAGCTCTGAATCTACAAAGTGTTTTAATTCCAAATAGGGAAACAAAAGATGATACTCTGTTAATAATACATGAAAATAAACTACTACATGTACGATTTTATTACTGCATGATCAACAAATGCAGGAGAAGACCCTCAGGGGTCTTTGACATGGCTGATAAGTGGTGATATCTTTTCACAATTGAAGTATTCCTGCTGGCAATCTGGCAATACCCCAGAAATATCCAAAAACAGGCGATACCCACAAAATCATACAGATGGTATATCTGCGAAGAGGGTATCAGTGATTTATGTTGCTTATTCAAAAAGGAAGTGGAGTCAATATAACGTCAGGGTGTAGAATACAAGCATATAAGGAATACAGGGAAACAACAATGCTGCGAAAGTAGAGCACCAAGTAATACTTCAGAAGATGGATCTCATGAATTGCTATTGTCCCTATTATAAGATGGACAGATTTAACATTGGACAGATTTAAGTCCCTCTTAACACTGGTAAAGAGGGACACCGTTGAGGGGAAAGAGGGAGGGAGGGAGGGAGGGTTGGAAGTTCTTGATTAAAAATTTGGTCTGTATGGAGCAACAAAAATTTTCATTGAATGCAAAAATAGTATTGTAATATATATTTTTAAATTTCAACATAAGATAAATTTACAATTATAATAATTTTAAAAAATATGCAAACATTTTTATACATCCTTTTTTTTCAAAATATTTTTTTTAACTATATTTCACACATAAAATGGCTTAATTGTAATTTTTCTGATGTCCACACTTCATTTACCGTGGAAAAAGCGCGTTCAGTCCCAACATTAGTTCATTGCAAATACAGCATATATTCAACAAATTACAAAATGCTTTCGTCATTGCCAATGCCAAAAAATGCCATTGTTCATTAAGTCAAAGCAACGGTGATCGATTTCTAACAATTGATCAACAATGTGAAGTTCTTCTTGCTTCTTAACAATTATTCGTTATTATTAAAGTTTAACATTATAAAATTAACAAAAATAATGTAAAACTCATATGCTGGATAAATATTCACATGGCCACCAGAAACCATATATATCCTTTGCGCTCTCCTGCCATTCTCTAGCTTGTCATGCATTCTTTCCGAAAATTGGGACTGTCCTACCAAAAGGGGGACGTCTGGTCACCTTATCCTATTATTAATATTGTTCAGAGTCAATCACCTCAAAGCTCAATGTCAAGCTGTTCTAAAATCCACCAATAATGATAAATCATAGCATTTCATATAATATGTCTCATCCCCCTATATATGGTAATCTCATGCAAAAGACTGGTACTGGAGAAAACACAATCTCCTTCACAGCAACTAAGCCGTTTTTGCCAATTGAAAAAATGCAGCAGACAGTATTGTTGGGAATTGTGAGCATTGTCAGTATTATCAAAGAATTTTAAAGACATATTAATGTCATTTTCGACTGACCAAATATGGTCAAATATGCTATTTATAGATAAATATATTTATATTATAAATAAAAACAGAATTGCATTTTATATTTTGAAGACTGCTGAAAGGCATGATTTACCAAATTGCAAGTAGACAAGCAGACCAATAGATAAGAGAGAAGTTATGATAATAAATATATTTTGTCACAAATCGATGCTTTTTTTACAGATTTAACATGTTGGTGGACGGTGGATTTTCCCGAAAAGCGTGTTTCTGGGACTTTACCCGTCACCTTGACCGACTAGACTCTGTTTTAATGACTAGGATAAACAATGGAAATCTTCAAGGTTTAGCATCTTTATTAAAGAGGAAAAAGTCCGAACAGGTCTATCCTCAAATAGGACACTTCTTCACAAATATTCCAGTAAGTAATTTGTTTGTTTTGACTGCGCTTGTATTTTTTTTTTCTATAAAGTTTTATTGAATTATTATAAAAGTGATATTGAATCAAAGTATTATCTTATTATATACAATATTGTAATCTCAATTACTACATTATACACTTTGATTGAATTACTTTAGAATTAAATTACTTCCTTATGCAATGTTTGAAGTAATGTCCTATTTAAAGACTAAAGAGATGGGTTTCCCACTTATAATAATTCATAAAATTAATTCCAGGAATACTGAAAAACATGGAAAACTTCAAATCAAATTTTGTCGTTCTACAAGATACTTTATTTTTTAGAACTAATGAGTGGACTTTTTACCTAAAATAAATTAATAACAAAATTTCTATATTTTTACAAATAGGTGCTGTTAAAAAAAAAAAAAAATATGTATATATATTATATATATATATATATATATATATATATATATATATATATATATATATATATATATATATTGGTTATTAATAGTTAACCAGTTACCCCGTGCAAATAACTCACACTGTATTGGTCAGGGGCCAAATAGAAATATACTAGAGAAATGAGAAAATGCAATAAATTTTGAGGAAGATGGATTCATTTTTTTTCTCACTTGACTAGAAGGCTATTGGAAATAATAATAAACATTTCAAAAAAGCCTAATAGGCAGTTTCTTCACTGATAATATTCTGATTTTTTCTGTTGTTTTACAGGGAATTCAGAAACCTTTCAAATTATTATGAAATCAACCACTATTGATTGTTTACTTTTGACTATGTGTAAATAAAATGTTTTATTTTTTTCTACTTTTTCTGGGGAAGTGCTTATTTTTCAGCACCAGTGGAGAATATAATCTCTAAAATAATGGTTCAATCATTGGATTTGATGAAGTATTAAGGGTATGCCAACAGAATAACACTATTGAGAAATAATGTTGTATTCTCAAACAGCATTACTGAATTTAGATGAAAATGATAACCATACACATGTCAAACACATTTCCAAGATACACACATATATATATATATATATATATATATATAGTTATAGCAGTCTTAAACTTGGAATTCTCTTGCTGCTATTGAATCAGGTATACCTTCCATCCATCTCTTTTCCTAATTATCTCTCTTCCTCCTTTCCAATGCTTTTAGGTACCTTTAGGTAGTCATTGATCATCCACCATTCTCATAATGTGTAATAATATGTGTAATAACATTATTATATATTATATATAATGTGTAATAACATTACACTTTAATAATGTAATAACATTAATAATATGTAATAACATTATTATATATTATATATAATATATAATAATGTCTAATAATAATAGGGGGCATATGTCACAGCTGAGATTTTAAGTCTATATGACCTTTCTACCACTAAAGACCTTTTCATCAACTTGTTTTTTGGTGTTGCACTCATTTGAAAGCCATCTACCTAAATATTTAAATTGCTCAGTTGGGGCCTAATCCCATTTCCCAAAATTTAGTGAGGATTCTCCACTATTATTTAAGGCCATACTCTCTCTTTTTGTTTTACTGATTTCAAGGCATCCTGCCATATAGGCTTCCAATAGCTTTCTCATCATAATGGATGCATCTTCTTTGCCATTTGCAATAATGACCTGGTGATCAGCAAATTGTAAATTTACAGGCATTTATCATATAAGGTTATCCCCACACTTTCTTTTCCATAGGCTAAGGATGATTCAAATAGTTAAAAACTATAAATCTCCTGGAATATTGCAGTTGTTTGTTGGAAGGATAATCAAATTGTTTAGATCTAAACTAAAAAAATATTTTTTAAAAATCTTTATTGGAACAATATTAGCAAAATTATAGCAAACAATTGTGTTGTCAAAATTTTCACCCAAAGCATTAGAAATGTTGAGTGAGTGGATAGATCAGAAATAGCTCTTTATTTTTTTCAGAGATGCATTTAGTCATTAAAGCGATTTTGGGACTACAATCCAAAAAAGACAAATATGATTTCAAAGATTTTTTTTTTGTTTTATAGAGTATTTAGAAACTTTTCAAATAATCAACCATAAATCTTATACTATTTAAGTTGAGATTACTTAATCATTGGATTTGATGAAGTATTGAAGAAAATACAAATTATTGAGAAACAGGCAACCCTGGTAATGCCTTTAAGAAATAATATACAAAGATTAAATTAAAAATAGTTAGAAAGTATCCTATACATTTTCTTTCTTCTTGAATATTACATTTAAAAACCAAGGGTGTTTAATCCCAATATAGTTGTATAATGTAATATTAAATAACATTTTTTATATAAAGTGTAATATATACAATAATATAAACACTTATATGTACCATAGAAATAAAAACATTTCAAAAACCAAAAAATGTTACAGGATAGAAAGCAGGTGTTGTCTCCCGATGGCGATAAAGATAGAGACCCACTTTTAATAAACCTAATAGAACAAGGGCAAGAGATGCTGAGTGGACTACGCCACCTCGGCTTGAAGCCTCAGGCCTGTTATAGGGAACCTAGCGTGGAACCAATTAACCTTTACCACAAAGTAGGTCATGGAAAATTAGATATGTACGTTCTATCACCAGCCAAGGATAGCCGAGAAGTTCGAGAATTCTTGGCCAAATGGGCAGCAGTTGATTCGAAAATATTTTGTAGTTATAGTAGGAAAGGAGAATTTAATTTCCCACTGAGTAGTAAAACATCTATTTGTGCACTTCTTGTTTGGCAACCTGCCAACCCAGAAGATAACATCACAAGGCTTTTATTTCCTGGAAGTACTCCTCAGCAGAAAATTTTTGAAGGTTTAGATAGGCTGAAGAACCTTGAATTTATGAAGCATCCTATTTGCTCAGCTAAGTCGTTATCACCTACCTCTTCGACCATAAAGTTGAGCATAAAGTCAACACCAAAACCTGCAATAATCGAGAAAGTTGCAGAAATTGAGAAGAAACAGAGTGAGACTGTCAAGGCTGTGAAACAAGTTGGAGAGATAAAAAAATCGACTCCACCACCACCCAAACCGAAACCTAAAGCCGACAGACCAAAGGAAAAACCAAAGACTGATTTAGATTCTAAGCCAGAGACTGTTAAGATTGATAGAAAAACAACTGAGGCTGTGCAGAAAGTAGATAAAGAAGTTAAAAAAGAAAAACCTAGAAGAACGATGCAAAAACCGCAAGAGAAGAAAACACAGAAACCTTCAGAGAAAAAAACGGATTCAGTGAAATCATCTCCAACAACACCTAAGAAAACTGTAGAAAATAAACTCACTGAGATGGCAGCTACAAGAACGGAAATGAAAACTAGAGCTTCCAAAGCCAAAGCTTCACCAACTTCGACACCAGCAAAAAGTGCCAAAGAAGAAAACAATAGGAAAGTTGTCGAACTCAAAAGTAGGGAATCAACTAAACTTCAAAAAGCTCCACCAACTAAAAGAGAAGAACCAAAGAAAATTGAAAAATCTGTAGGAAAAAAACCAACTGCCTCTCCCAAAGGGATGAAGTCTTTGTCACCAATAAAGGGAGCAAAACAACCAGTTAAACAACGTTTAGATGTCAAAAAAACTAGTAAAACAGAAAAAGATATAATCACTGATTCATCTGCTGTATCAACACCATCAACAGTTGATGCAGAATTAACCAAAGCAAAAGAAGAGGCAGAAAAAACAAAAGAAATCAGTGAAAGCAAGCCAGAAGATGCCAGTCGAAAAGCATCTGAGGACATTGGTAAATCGATATCAAAAGAAGATGATGATGAAATATTAATCATAGAAAAGGTGGAAATCAGTGACGAAGTCACAGGTAAAGCTGATGTTGAAAAAATAGCTCTACACCTGCAAAAACTAGATGAAGAAAAAAAAAAGATACCAAAAGAACAATCCGCTAGTGCAATGGAAGAGAAAGAAACTGCAGACACTCTTAGTCAAGAAAAGACTGTAGGAGAAACCATTCCTTCACCAGAGACAAAGCAAGTTGCCCAAGAAGAAGTACAAGATATAATTGAAACTGCCACAGAAATAGTAACGAAACGGTTAGATATCCAGAAGACCGACTCACAAGAAATATCAGGAAAAGACTTGGGATCAACAGAAAAAATTGTCACTCCAAAAGAAAAAGATATGAAATCAGTGGACGTGGAGCAGAAAATTGATGAAAGCCAACCTGATGAAAGGTTTTCGACAACAGTTGAATCTGGGGCGACAACAACTGCACCAACACTTCCTGAAGATGAAAGGATTCCTCTTGATGAAATAAAAGAGGGAATAGAAGAAAAGCATGTAAAAGAAGAAACAAAGGAGAAAGAAATTATTGCAACTCCAAGACCAGAACAGCTAACCAGTTTACCTCAGGTTCCAGTTATAGCTGGAACAGTTTTTGATCAACGAGCGCAACTTTTAAAGGACATAGTGAAAACACCAGATGAAGTAGCCGATTTACCAGTTCATGAGGAGGTTGATGTGGGTATATATGAAGGAGCAGGAAAGGATGAATTACTCTCTCTTCCACCATCAAAGAAAGAGAAAAAGGACGATACCACAGAAGAATTGAAACTATTTAAAGACAATTTAGAAAAAGAAGATAAAAGTAAAGACTTGAAAGAAGATATGGTAGAAAGTGTCGATGTTTTGTCTCATACAACAACAGATTTAGATATGATCAGTAGTAGCCCAAAATCAGGCAAACCTTTGGAATCTGATGAAAAAGAAGAGGTACAGGAGGATGAAAAAGATATTGGACTAGAAAAAAGAACTGAGAAGATTTCAGGATTTGCTGAGATTGAAAAGCAAGAAAAAGAAGTAAAAATATTGGAAGTGGATGAACAAGTACTAGATAAACCTGAAGAATCAAGAGAAATTACAGAAAAAGAAACAATAGAATCAAAAGAAAAAGAAGAAACCAAAGCTCCTTCAATAGCTAAATTAGAATTACAGGAAATAGCTAGACCATCTTCAATTGAGGAAATAGAAACTGAAAAGGATGAGGGTGTCTGTCTAGATGAAACTACTCCACAATATGAATCGAAAGAATCTATTGTTACCGATGGAAAAGTAGGAGAGAAAGATAAAGAGAGTAAAGAACATATTAGGTTGGAAGAAGAACGTACGGAAAAGTTTTTATTGGAGATTGAGTCTAAAGATTCTGAAAAGAAAAGTGAAATAACAGAAATTGATAAAAAAATACTGAGTGAAAAAGGAGAAGAGAAAATAGCTCCTGGAACTGTTCAAGAAGCACAAAAAGAAGAACCAAAAAAAATAGACACAGAATTGGTGATTAAAAAAATTGGAGAAAGTATTATTTCAGAAGAACAAGAAGTAACAAAAGAAGCCACAGCAAAAGATGTTCTAAAAAAAGCAAAAGAGGATCAAAAAATTATTATTGAAGATCTTAAAGAAAAAATAGAACCTGAAATAGGTGATACAATGGAAGAAGAAATAGATATAGCTGATAAAGAAACCATGTTTGATATCAAAACTTCAGAACTAGAAAAGGGCCAAGAACAAGATATAAAAAAATCTTCTTTAGAATCCACAAAGAAGGCAGAACCAACATCACTGGAAGAACAAAAAAAAGGAGACAAAGAGTTAGGTGAATCAAAACAGATACATGACACAAGTGTCATTAAAATGGAGGAAAAAGAAGAAATACACAAGAAAACACTCACTCCAGAAGAGAAAACTTTAGCTTCAGAAATAGCCGAGTCAGAAAAAATTATAGAAATGGAACATGAAGAACTTATTAAAAAAGAAATTAGTGATGAAGCAGAACATGATGAAATTACTATTAAAGAGACTAAAACAAGTGAACCAACTATATCAGAAACTCTTTTATTAAATGGAAAATTAAGTGATGAACTAGGAAAGTCGGTACAAATATCTGTCACAGAAAAAGAAATTGGAGAAATAATTCCTACAGAACTCAAAAAAACAATAACAGGACATGAAGAAATAGTAAGCCAAGAAGTAATGAAGAAGGTTGATGAGCACGAACCTGAGGATCTGCAAAAAATTGAAAGTGAGTCTACTATTTTAACCAAAGATGAAATGGAGCCTTCAAAAGATGTTGAAGAAACAGAAGATATAAAAGAAACTCAACTCATTGATAAAGGTAATACTTTTAGATATCATATCAAAAATAAATTTAAAAAATTGTAATAATAATGAAAATCAATAGCATATTTTAGCATCTTTGGAATCATTGGGTTGCACATGCTACTCCATACTTTATAACATTTAAATATAATATAATGCCAGGGTAATGTAATTTAATTGCCAAAAAATAATGTACTTATATCATTTAATGGGAAGAGGTAGGAATAAACAGACAGCTATTCTTTTTTGTTATTGTTAAAACTGAATAGAGGTTATTTCTTAAATAAAATATGTTGACAGGGCACATTCAATGAAAACAGATTATTTTGGTGAGGAAAAAAAATTTTCTTTTTAATTCTTTGACACTTGGATCACAAGATCCCATAATTGGTACTATGAACATATAATAGTGGATTCCGCAATTCACTCACAGTATTCTAACAGCAGTAATGTGTAAATAATCCTTAAAAGATAGGTTATGGAAAGAATAGCATGATCCAGCCAATGTAAGCCCTACATCATTATTAAAAATTTCAGGAAATTTAAACTATTATAGCTTATGTTCAGTTTCCGGATTAGTTTCAGAAAATTTTTTTGTCATAAAAATTTTTAAAACATAATTAGCATTCTTTAGTTCTGTGTAATCAGGAAACTGATATTTATCCGTTGGTCAGTGGTAACCAATCAAAAAGTTAATCATTTTTATCAGGAGTATAATAAGATATAGTCTTTTCTTCCAGTCTAATATACCTTTAATGGACTCAAACAAAGATAAAACTGCCTAATGACTTCCCTCACTTGTCAAAATAGGGCTAGGGAATAACAAATCAAGAGATAGTTTTCTAACTATTAGATAGTTTTCTGTTGAAATTAGGCCTTACAAAAATTCAGTAGGCCAAAACTAATAGAAATGTAAAAACAATCCTTTATTATCCTCCTAATCTCAGGTTCCACCAGAATCAATCTCAAGAAAAGTAAACTTAATTAAGTATTGAATTTATGAACCAACAAATTTAAATTTTGAATAAGTCCCTGTATCTATCCATTTGATAACCATTATATATTATAAACTCATACTTAAATAAGAAACTATTGCTGTTGCAGATAAGATTGTGGCAGAGATAGAAGCAAAAGAGGAAGTAATAAGTACTGAAGTATCAGGAAAAATCAAATCAGAAATTGAAGAAAGAATAAAAACTGAAATACAAGAAACAGTTGAAGACATTGATGTTAAAAAAGTAGTAGCAGAAGAAATAGCAACAGAAGTAAAAGAGGATGCAAAACTAATAGCAGAAGTAGAAAAGATAGAGACAAAAGCTGAATCAACAGAAACTATTAAAAAAGCAAAAACAGATACTCTACTGGATCAAAAACATTTAATAGAAACTAAATTAAGTGAGGATTTAGAAAAAATTCGCTTGGAAGAATCAGTTTTGATGAATGGTTTAATAAAAGAAGAAATGGTTTTAAGTGATAATGTTAGTGATAGTTTAACATCTGATAATGAAATTGAACATATAGCTGAAGATAATATCTTTAAAAAATCAACAGGAGAAGAACTGAAAAGTGTTACAAAGGAATTATCAGTTATTGGTTTTGAACCTGATACTGGAGCGGATTTGACAAAAAAACCTGGTAGTTCAAGCATTATAGACAAAGATATAAAGGCAGAAATAAAAGCAATGGATTTGACAGCCGAAACTAAACTATCTGATGAAATGTTAAAATATTATGAAAAACCAACACAAGATGATGTGAAAGATGAAACAAAACCAGTACAACTAACAATTGAAGATGAAATAAAACCATCTGTAGACAAGAAGGAAGAAGAAATAAAAATAATTGAAGAAAAGAAAGAAGTTGAAACAAAACCAACTGAAGAAAAGAAAGAACTTGAAATAAAACCATCTGAAGAAAAGATGGAAGCTGAAATAAAACACATTGAGGAAAAGATAGAATCTGAAATAAAACCAACTGCAGAAAAGAAGGAAGCTGAAATAAAGCTATCCGAAGAAAAGAAAAAAGATGAAATAAAGCAAACTGAAGAAAAGAAGGAAGCACAAATAAAAACAAGTGCAGAACTGGAAGAAACTGCCAAAGAACAGAAGGAAGTTGAAATAAAACTATCTGAAGAAAAGAGAGAACCTGAACTACAACCAACTGAAGAAAGGAAAGAAGTTGAAATAAAACCATCTGAAGAAAAAACAGAACCTGAAGTAAAGCCAACTGAGGAAAAGAAAGAGGCTGAACTACAACCGTTTGAAGAAAAGAAGGAAGCAGACATCAAACTAATTGAAGTAAAAAAAGAAGCTGAAGTAATACCATCAGAAGAAAAGAAAGAAGCCGAAATAAAACTGACTGAAGAACAAAAGGAACTTGAAATAGAACTATCCGAAGAAAAGAAAGAATCTGAAATAAAACATATTGAGGAAAAGATAAAAACTGAAATAAAACCAACTCAACAAGAGAAAGAAGCTGAAATAACACCATCCGAAGGAAAGGTAGAAGCTGAAATAAAATCTACTGAAGAAAAGAAAGAGGCTGAAATAAAATCAACTGAAGAACAGAAGGAATCTGAAATAAAACACATTGAGGAAAAGATAGAATCTGAAATAAAACCACCTGAAGAAAAGAAGGAAGCTGAAATAAAACCGACTGAAGAACAGAAGGATCTTGAAATAAAATCATCTGAAGAAAAGAAAGAGGCTGATCTACAACCGTTTGAAGTACAGAAGGAAGCAGAAATAAAGGAAACTGGAGAACTGAAGGAAGTTGAAACAAAACTAACTGAAGAAAAGAAAGAGGCTCAACTACAACTGTTTGAAGTAAAGAAAGAAGCCGAAATAAAACCGACTGAAGAAAAGAAAGAGGCTGGAATAAAATCAACTGAACAACAGAAAGAATCTGAAATAAAACACATTGAGGAAAAGATAGAATCTGAAATAAAACCCACTGAAGAAAAGAAGGAAGCTGAAATAAAACCGACTGAAGAACAAAAGGAACTTGAAATGAAACCAACTGAAGAAAAGAAAGAATCTGAAATAAAATCAACTGCAGAACAGAAGGAATCTGAAATAAAATACATTGAGGAAAAGAAGGAAGCTGAAATAAAAGCAACCGAAGAAAAGAAAGAGGCTGAAATAAAGCCAACTGAAGAAAAGAAGGAAGCTCAAATAAAAACAACTGCAGAACAAAAAGAAACTGAAACAAAACCAACCGAAGAACATGATGAGGTTGAAATAAAACTATCTGAAGAAAAGAAAGAACCTGCAGTAAAAGTGACTAAAGAAGAGGATTATAATGAAATAAAATCAACTGAAGAAAAGAAAGAACCTGAAGTAAAACCAACTGAAGAAAAGAAAGAACCTGAACTACAACTGACTGAAGAAAAGAAAGAAGTTGAAATAAAACCAACTGACCTAAAGGAAGAAACAGAAAGAAAAGTAACTGAAGAAGGGAAGGAAGCTGAAATAAAAACAATCGAAGAAATGAAAGAAGGTGAAATAAAAGTAACTGAACAAAAGAAAGATGCTGAAATGAAACCAATTGAAGAGAAAAAGGAAGCTGAAATAAAACCAACTGAACTAAAGAAAGAAGCTGAAATAAAACTGACTGAAGAACAAAAGGGAGATGAAATAAAAACAAGCATAGAAGAGAAGGAATTTGAAATAAAACACATTGAGGAAATTAAACAACCTGACTTTAAACTGACTGAAGAAAAGATGGAAGGTGAAATGAAAACAAGCCAAGAACCCAAAGAAGCTGCAATAAAAGCAACCGAAGAACAGAAGGAAGTTAAACCATCTGAGGAAAAAAAAGAACCTGAAGTAAAACCAACTGACAAAAAGGAGGATGTTGAAATAAAACCACTTGAAGAAATAAAAGAAGCAGAGATAAAAAAAACTAGTGAAACAAAACCAACTGAAGGCCAGAAGGAAGTTGAAATCAAACCAATTGATGAAAAGAAAGAAATTGAAATTAAACCAATTGAAGAGAAGAAGGAACCTGAAGTAAAAGCAACTGAAGCAATGAAAGAGGTTGAAATCAAACCAACAGATATCAATATTAAAGATGAAACAAAATCAGATGGAGAGAGGAAAGAAGATTTAATTAAACCAACAGAAGAAAAACTAGAAGAATTTGCATTACCTCCAAAAACTGAAGGGGCTGATATCAAAACAACAGAAGAGAAGATAGTAGATGAAAAGATAAAAGATGTTCAAACCAAACTTACTGAAGAAAACAAAATAATGGAAGTAGAGGAAGCCACATTACAAGTTGAAGAAACATCTAAATTACTTGAAATTAAACAATTAGAAAAAACAATAGAAGATAAATTGGTAACAGCTGAGGAAAAGCAAGTTCATTTAACAAAAGATGAAGGCAAGGAAGATACAGAAACAAAAGTAACAGAAGAAATAAAACAAACTTTAAAAGAGACTGAAGATAAAAAGGGAGAGGAAACAATACCAACTAAAGATGAGGATAAAGCTAGTACAAAACCTCAGATTTTGTCAGAACAAGAAAAGGAGGAGGTTGAAATAATACCATCTGATGAAAAGAAAGTAGAAGAAATCAAAATATCTGAAAGTAACAAGGAAGACAAAGTAAAGCAAACGGAAGATAAAGAATTTTTAAAACTAGACAAAAAAGTTATTACAGAAAAAGAGAAAGAGGATGATATAAAACAAGCTGAACTAAAATCTGACAAAGGAAAGAAAGCAACTGAATTAAAAATAGCCGAAGAACAATATTTTGCAAGTGATTTGGCTAGCGAAGTAAAAGAAGTTGAATCCAAATCTGTTGAAGAAACTGATGAGTTAAGAATAAAATATGAAGATGAGGAAAAGGAAACCAAAATAAAATTAACTGAAGAAAAAATTGATTTCGATATGAAACCTGCTGAACAAGATAAAGAAGCAGAATCAAAGTCAGAGAAAGAAATAAAACAAGTGGAAATTGATAAAGATGCAACAAAAGAAGCTGAAATAAAACCTGAAGAAAAGAAAGAGAAGGCAGATACTAAATCAAAAGACACTGTAGAAATGAAGAAAGATGCTTTACAAAAGGAGGTTGAAATACAACCACTTGGCGATAAGAAAGATATTGAACCAAAATTAGCAGATGATAAGAAAGAAATTGAGTTAAAATCAGTAGAAGAAAAGAAAGAAATTCAAATAAAATCAGAAGAAGATGAGAAAGATATTGAATTTAAATCAACAGATAAAAAGAAAGAAATTGAATTAAGATCAGCAGAAGAAAAGACAGAAATTGAATTACGTTCGGCTGAAGAAAATGGAGATGTTCAATTAAAAATGGCAGAAGAAATGAAAGAAGCAGAAATTAAAACAAGGACACAAGAGGATGAAATAAAAGCACCTGGAGAAAAGAAAGAAATTGAATTAAAATATGCAGAAAGGGAAGATGACCAATCGAAAAAAGAAGAAGAAAAGAAAGAAGGAATCGAAAAAGACACAGGTATTAAAGAGAAAGAAATAAAAACTGAGGAAAAGAAAGAAATTCAATTGAAATCTACCAAAGATGAGAAGGAAACTGAATTGAAATCAGCAGATGAAAAGAAAGTAATTGAACTAAAATCATCAGATGAAAAGCAAGAAATTGTATTGAAATCAACCGAAGATCAGAAGGAAATTGAATTGAAACCAGCAGAAGAAAAGAAAGAAATTGAATTAAAATCAGCAACTGAAAAGAAAGATATTGAACTAAAATCAGCAGAAGAAAAAGAACTGTTCAAAATATCAGCTGAAAAGAAAGAATTAGGAATCAAAACAGGTATTGACCTAAAAGGGGATGAGATTAAACTGGTTGAAGAAAAGAAAGATGCTGAAGTAAAACCACCACAAGAAAAAATTGATCTAGGTGAAGATGTTGAAGAAATTGAAACAAAACCAGTTGAAGATAAGAAAGAAGTTGAAATTACACTTGATCAAGAAAATAGAGAAGCAGCTGTAAAATCACTTGAAGAGAAAGATGCACAGTTTAAAATAGAAGTAGAAAAAAAAGAAACAGATATCAAACCAGAAATAAGCAAAGATGAAAAGGGATCCAAACCAATTGGTGAAATAAAAGAATCTAAAGTACAATCAGATGAAGAAAAGACAGAAATTTCATCCAAACTGGATGTAGGAAAGACAGAAACTGAGGTAAAACTAATAGATGATGTTATACAAAGAGATGATTTAAAATCAACAGTTGGAAAAGAAGACATGAGCATAATAACAGTAGAAGTACAGAAAAAGGATGAGAAAATGTCATCAAACGAAATTAACATATCAGAAGTAAAAAAATCTGAATCGGATGTAGGCAAAGATGAAATAACACTAAAACTAGCTGATGATGATAAAATGGTAGGTCAAATAAAGAAAGAAACTGGAATAAAAACTGTTGGAGAACAGAAAGAATCAGAACTTAAAGAGGATTCATATGAGAAACTAATGAATGATAAAAAAGTAGAGGAAATGAAATTAACAGATCAAATGCCAGAAACCAAAATTAAACCTACTCAAGAAAAGCAAGAAGTTAAAATAAAATCAGATGAAGAAAAGGAAGAATTAGCAATGAAGCAACATTTGATCGAACAAGATATTGAAGAAATAAAACCAGCAGGCGAAATACAGCCCACAGATGAATTTAAAGACCGTCTAGAAAAAAAAGAGACTCAAGTGAGCCAAGAAAAAATTGAAGTATTATCAGGTCAAGAAACAAAGCATACTTCAGTCAGACCTATCGATGATGATAAGGTGACTGAATTACAGTCAGTGATTGAAAAAGATTTGTTTGGGGCTGGAACTGTAAAAGATTCTGAAGAAATAATAGATGGTACGATGATACTTGATAAGAAGGAAAGCATGTCATCTATCGCGAATCTTGATAGCACTTATGTACTCCAAAAAGGTGAAGAAATGCCAATTAAAAAAGATGAGTTGGCAGAAGAAATGGCATTGCATAAAATAAAAGAAGAAAAACCAATTCAGTCAATATATGAGATAGAAAAAAGTGACTTTCTGTCAGAAGTGAAGATGGTACAAGATTTGAAAACCATAGATCAAAAAGGTGGAGGCATTGAAGAAATATTAAAGTTAGAAAAAGAATCATATGAAGAAAAGAAAGCTACTGCAACAAAATCAGTTGAAGAAAAAATGGAAGCTGATGCCACTATACTTAAAGAAAAAACTGTATCTTTAGCAGATAGTTACATTAGTGAAATAAAATCGACTGAATTGAAAGAAGATAAAATATTACATGACTTACACCACCTTGGACCTATAGCAGATGAAGAAACAAGAGAATTTTCAGGGTTAATAGTAGCTGGAACTTCACTAGATGAGGGAATCGTGATAAATGGTCAAAAAGAAATTGAAAGTAAGTCAATAGAAAAAACATACGAATCAAAGAGTGTAAAAGCTGAAGGTATGGAAACAGTTTCCGTCAAAAGCCAAATCGATTCAGAAACTAAATTAACAACTGGACTTGATACATTGATACAACAAAAGCAAGAATTGAAATTAGTATCAAATGTAGAAAAAGAAAAAATCGAATTGGAACCACTTGAAAAAATAAAGGAACTTGACATCAAAGCAACAAAATTAGCAGATACTAAAACTACTGAAGATCTTGAATCAAAAATAAAAGATCAGTCAGAACCTGATTTAAAATCAACTACAGAAAAGGATAAACCTAAAGATCAATCAGATCTAGAGCATAAGGAGCTATCTGAACAACCAGAATGTAGTAAAGATGTTGAAGCTAAACTGACTGATAGTAAGAAAGAGATAGAAGTCAAATTATCTGAAGAAAGTAAAACTGAAATAAAATCAACACAAAAAGAAGAGTCAATAGCTAAATCAACTCAAGAAAAAGAGGAGCATAAAGCTGGGCTATCTGAGGATAAGGAAGGATCGGAAAAGAAAATAGAAGGTGAAAAGAAAGATATTAAAGAAATATCAATAAAAGATAAAGAAACTGAATTACTACAGAAAGTAATGGAAATTGAAACAGAAAAATCAACAAAAATTGTGGAGGATTTTGAATTTTTAGAAGAATCGATAGATAAGCTTACAGTAGATAAGAAAAAAGTTTTATTTGAGGCTGAAGGTTTGAAAGAGACATCAACAACTGTAAAAACAATAACAGATTCTGAATCAACTGAAGTTTTAGAACTGAAGTTAGACTCTGAGATCAAAACCACAGAGAAAAAATCTAGAATCTCTGAATCTATGGAACAGACCAAAGATGTTGGTTTATCAAAATCAATTATGATAGAAAAAGATAAAACAAGTTCTGAAGAAGAAATAGGACATTCAGTCTTGAGTAAGTTATCAAAAGAAAATGGTTATCACTATGAGGATGTTTTAGATGAATTGAAGGAATCACAAAAATCTGAAATAGCAATGAAATCAGAAAGTAGTATAGAAACAAAAACAGAAGACAAGGCATTGTCTAGTAAAACTACTGAAGAAATCTTCAAAGACCAAGGGAAAAAAATGAGTGAAAGTACTTTTGAAATTCAGTCTGTAGAAACAATCATTCACAGTAAAACTTCAGAAGATAAACTGGAAGTAATGAGCAGTGAATCGAAAGAAACTGTTTTAAAAACTGAAACAGATTTGACTGAGACTGATTTGACAGCACAATCTGGAACCATCTCTTCAACTGAGAAGGCAGATATCACAGAAGGCTCAAGCAGTTCGAGTAGGGTAACAATAACAGAAGAGTGTAAGCTTGATAAAATAAAATCCACAGACCTTCCAAAAGCTGAAAAGGGAGCATTGGACAGCTCAATTAAAGAAGAAAAAACTGAAAAAATCAAAGATGAAACTGTATTGACGAAACTACCAGATGATATTAAAGAATCAACATCTCAAAAAGAGTTTTCAACAGCAAGTTCTATGAAGGAAACAGAAACTGCCACCTCTAAAGAACACCTATCAATGGTTGATGAAAAAATAAAAGAGAGTATTGATACTAAAGTCAATGGCTTTACCGATTCAAAAGTAACCTCAGAATATCAAGTTTCTACCTCAACTTACAAAACAGAAGGAAGAAGTGAAACAACATCAAAAGAATGTACTGATATTAGTGGAATCATATCAGAACAAAAAGAAATGGTAGTTCAAGAAATTGCCGATTTACCATCATCTGTCAAGGTTGAAAAAGATACGGCTAATGCAGATTTAAAGAGCAAAATGAAGGATGAGAAACTAATGGATGTAGCAGACGTTACAACAGATCATGTTAGCCAAATTACAACTAAAGAACCAAGTACAGAAAAAAGAACTGAAGAAGTGTGCTCCCTTAAGTACACAAATGTTGAAAAAGTCAAAAGTGAGGAACACTCAACAGAAAGTTCAGAAACATCACAATTGAGTACAAAACTCGATGAAACTCATCTGGAGGAAACAACAACTGTATCGGAAAAAACAACGTTTACTAATGGTAAAGTTCAAATGCCAAAAGATGAGACTAAAAGTATTTCAGAAGTAGAAACCAAATATTCTGAAAGTAGTGGTATTGGAGGTATTACTACCATTACTACTATTACAAAAACCATCACAACCACAACAACAGCACCAGAGGAGTCAAAAGATACAGATATTTCAAAAAATGGCACCCAAAAAACTGAAAAACAAATTGTAACAACTGAAATAAAATATCCTATAGAAACTGATAAACCTATAGATACTACACAAAAACATGTTTCAAGTACTTCGTTAATGGAAGAAACAACAGAAAAATCGGAACAAGTTTGTAAAGTAGAAAAAATTGTTACTGAAAAACATGAAATAGAAAGTGTAAAAGATGTTTCAGTTATAAAAGCCAAATTGATTTCTGATGTGACACCAGCATTCAATGGTTCTACAGTATTTGGTGGTGAAAGCAAAACTAATATATCTAAAACCGAAACAATATTGAATGGTTCTTTTAGTGGACCCAAACAGACTCTTCAACAATCCACAGCAGAAGTGAAAAGTATATCTTCTGAAATACAAGATAGTATAAAAGCGGCTAGTTCAACACTTGAAACAAAGCATTTAGAAACAATTAAGACTGAAAAATCTAAAATTAGTCTTGAATTAGAAAAAAGTTTAGAAACAGCACATCGAGATAAATCAACTGCGTCAGTAAAAGAAATATCAGAAGCTTCCTCTAGTCACGTATCAACTGAATCTAAACAAGACACTTTAAAGGATTTAAGTATGATCAAGGATATGACTGCTAGTTTTATAAGCACTGAAAGATGGACAAATAGGCGGACGGACACTCCCGAAGGTCGAGCTACTCCATCCAGTGAGGCAACCTGGAGGGAGTCTGATGACGACTTACCTCCTTCCCCTCTGTCGACAACATCTCACCTACATTCACCTCCACCAGCCATGTACTCATCAATGTATGTTCAGGATGATGACAGTGACATAAGTTTTGGAAAACCTGACATAGACTTCGAAACAGCAGCAAGAGAACACGTACAGGTAATCAGTTCATTCAGTAATTTCTAAATACCATTGTACAAAACATAAATGAAATAGTAGAAAAAATATTAAAATTTTAATAGAGTAACAGATCACTGTTAAAGAATTTAGCTGTATTTTATTTTCAATTATAAAAGCAATATTTTTATATGAAGCACTGGGGATAAAAAAAAAAAAAATTAGTGATTGAAAGGCAAATATAATAAAATTTATAATCTATAAATATGATTTTCACATTATATATTATAAGTAGGTAATGATTACTAAATAACCATACAGAATAATAAAGCTGTTTTTTTTTTTTTTTTGTAATTATAACTTCAATATAATTTTATGATTTTTATAAATAAATTTTTATTTTCATTTACCCCAAAGAAGTATAATTTTCTCTTAAATTGTTTGTTTTATTAAAGAATTTCAGTTTGTCAGAGCTGAACATAGTTTTTCTACTTCAATAGAGACCAATGGCGTAGCCAGATGGGGGAAGACAATTGTTGAAAAGGAGGACGATTAAGTTGAAGACGGGGAATTAGTATTTATTTTGTAATTAATTTCTTTCAGAATGTAAAAATACAATTAACAACCAATCTGATGCTATTAATCAATTTTTCTGATTTTTTTTTAAAAACATTTGTTGCTACTTTATTTAAATTTATTTTTAAATTTGAAGGGAGAGTAGCTTCCTCACCTTGCTGCCCTAGGATATGCCCCCAGTAGAGACAGTTCTAGTCTCATTTCTTATAAATAAATTTAAAAACATCTAAAATCACTCAGGATGGGTCATAATCTATATTACATATTTTTTTTAGACAAGAGGTGAAACTCTCCCTAAGGATCCTATAGAAAAATGGGGAAAACCATTAGGGCTTCCACCACCACCTTCAGGCAAAGACTACTGGAGTCCCTTTAAAGAGTGGGGAAGGCCTCTTCACCTTCCTTCACCAGCTCCAGCACCCGCAGAGAATGACACCGAGGATACATCTGGCAGTGCGAAGACTACACCAAAGAAAGTGGCCAAAATGAACGAGGAAAATAATAGATATGCTTCGAATATTGTGATTGGTAAGTTTATCTACTTTATTTTCAATAACATCAATGAATTCATAAAAAGTTTTATAGAATCAATGCATACATAAATGCAATGTTTTTCAGTAAAAAAATTTGTAATTAAAAATTTAATTTTGATCTTGTTTAATTCTTTTAAATATTAAAAACCATTTACGAGTATTGAAATGATTTATCCGTGTTCTTTCTTTGTCATATCTTTGAGGATATGAACATAAAAATTCAAATTTAACATTGTAAAATTGTTTTCTATTCTACAGGTAAAGAAGCTAATAATAAAAACAGGCGTTCAGATTCCCCTGTGAAGCGGAATATGAAAGACAGTAAAAAAGCTGGAATGGGCCACATCTACCTAGATCTCAGTTATGTACCACACCATGGTAACTCCCACTATGCCAATGTTGAATTTTTCAAGCGAGTGCGAGCAAGGTAAATAAGCAAAATATTATACTACTATTTATATATATATATATATATATATATATATATATATATAGAGAGAGAGAGAGAGAGAGAGAGAGAGAGAATTATAAAATTCTATAACAGAGTGTAAGCAAAAGGTGTTGCCAATGACCCTACAGGGTAGAGGCAACAATAAACAGAAATGAATAAATAAATATTAATTTAAATTATTTAATAAAAATAAATAAATATAAAATCTAAATTTCCAGTGGTTAATTAATGAAATTTCCTAGATTCTAGTTTATAAAACCAATAAAAGAAATAATACAAATGCCAGCAGTTAATTTGGTTACTGGTTTAAAAGTTAGACTTGTTCTTTATGTTGGAAAATAAGTATTACTTTCAGAACAGTACTTTCATGAATATCTTACGTTATAAATAATCACTGGATATCTAAAAACATTCTTGACCAAAAGAAAATTATTAAATAACTTACAGTCCATCAACCATTTTAAAACCCATCCTTGAACACTGTAAGATTTTTATAAGTTCTATTATTTTCTTCCTCATCTTTATGATTTGGTTTCAATAGAAAAAGTAGTGAAATATTTTATTTTTTTCAAAGTTCCATTAATGAGAATATATGAATGGACACAATATGTTTATCTATTTATTTAACTTTAGTTATTAGTAATAAGTTAATTTTTCAAAATCTTCACCAATTTCCTGGTCAGCATAAATTTTATTTGTTTTATCTTCCAATTTTGTTCAGGTATTATGTGTTCAGTGGAACTGAACCTAGTAAAGAGGTCTTCAATGCACTTCTGGAGGCAAAACAGCAATGGGAGGATAAAGATCTTGGTATGTAATGTATAATATATTACGTTTAATTTTGTAAACTATAATTTTGACTTTAATGAATGTGGTTTTTTATTATAAGAAGAAAATATTTTCATTTTATTATTTTTTCTTTTTTATCAAAGATATACAAGATCATTTGAAGTAATTTATTCATTACAATAAAATTTAAAATAACACAAAAGATAAAATAACACAAAAGATAAAATAAACTAAAAAGTCATTTTACATCAAGTATAAACATTAAAACAAAAGTTATTTACCTACAAATGGTAAGCAAACTGGAGAGTAAAACACTGGTAATCAGTGCAATTTTAATGATAGAATTTTAATAACTGAAAGGGCAAGAGGATGAAGGAGGCATGCATCTAACATATTTTTTTTCAAAATGAGTTATTGTAAGAGATGAAGTACGTAGTTGGCCTAATTTCTGGTACTTAAACAACTCTATAGGAGCCTTATTAAGCTAAATAAAAGGAAGACATCTCTTTATACTTAAAATAATTTCATTCCTATAACATCAAGAAAAATGAAGTTAACGTAAAGGATTAAAAATTTCCCATAAAATGAGAATCAGTTGTTTAATGGTAATCTACAAAGATATTTAAAGCTACTATTGCATACCACCCAAACCATGGCAAGTAGAAGCATATCAAAGATGTTTGGAGACAAACTAAAGAGAGCTTGCAGAAAGCAACACGTAAGCTCAAGATTTCAACAGATATTGGCATTCCTGCTCTGTTTTTTTTTTTTCTTTTTTTAATTATCTCTGTTTTTTCTTTATGAAATAAAAATACTTTAAACCTGTAAAATTCTCACAAGCATAATAATTTGTATTTGTTTGTGTTTGCAGTCTTTTGGAAATAAGTAAAGCTACCTTTTTTCTTTTGTTTTAACTTCTACCATAGTTGCACCTTGGCCTAATAGAGGCATATTGTGTGTCATCATAATTTGTTAAAATAGCGATAACTTTTGGGAATTCGTTGGATACTGATTCGATCAAATCAATTTGCAGAGCTTAGGGTCAGCCAAGTGCAAGAATGCAGTCACAGCCAAAATTGAAGTATCCCATTCTAGCTAAAATATCATATCTATATATATTATGTGAGAGGCAATCTCGACCTCTATACTGCAGATAGTTCAATCAACCTCATTTCAGGTAGTTGGATTAACCTTGGAATGTGTCTCTTATGTACTGTTTTTCCAATAGGCCCTAGTCTTATTGCCAACAGTTACCTTTTTTCGTCTGTTTGCAAAGCTTAGGCTAATACCACGGATGGACTCTGATTCAATAGTCGCCATAAGTGAAATGTTATATTAAGTGCATGCTATATTAAAGTTTGTTTAACCTTCAAAGTTAAATTTAAAAATATTCCATTAAAATTTATGCAAAATTCAATTTTTTTGATAGAAATTAAAATATTTGATTTTAATTAATCAAATAAAATTTGATTGTTTCAGAAGTAACAATAATTCCAACATATGATACTGATACACTGGGCTACTGGATAGCAGAAAATGAAGAGACATTATCAAAATACAAGATAGACCTCTCACCTTCAGCAAGTCGCTGCACGATCAACCTACAAGACCATGACACATCATGCTCTGCTTACAGGCTCGAGTTTTAATAATGATACTGAATCATAAAACAAATGTAATTTTATTTAAAAATGCATTATTGCAAGGTTAAGTCAAACCTCATTGGCCATCCCAAAAATAAATTTTAAAAAGTCATTGTCCTCCCTGCACAATGCAGTCCATTCCTTTCCCTCCATTTTATTGGGATTAGAACACACTTCACTTTTGCTAATAATAAGAATATTTTGAGTATTTTAAAGCCAGAAAAAATTTAATAGATATTGTGCGATAGTACAACTATCACGTCCATCGCAAGACTACTTTTTAGAATTTAAATCATGTTAAGTTAAGAAGTCAAAATAAAAAATAAATAAAAAAAAAAACGTACAAACCAAAGAACACTAGAAAATGATAAAATTTTGTATACATTATTATTTTTTATTCATTAGCAGATTAATCACCTGATCCAATACTTCCTATAACATATCTCTCAACATTGTATACACTGAGGTAGGCGATTTAATCTTTGTGATTCCTATTGTTCATTTTAAATTCCTTTTTAGCGATTAAAAACAAATTTTACTGTAGTTGTTTCATATTAGGTGTTTCTCCCAGCGTTTTGACGGATTTTGATCCCATAATTCATGTAACTGACCAAAAATTAGCAATTTAAAAAAATTAATTAATTTAATTTTTGGGTAGTGATTGTTTTTGCATCTAATTGAAAATTGGGAAGCATTTGTTTATTAAATAGAAAAAATAGATATTAATATCTAAGAAAAAAAAGATATTCCTAATTAGATTTAAGGTTGTCATGTTTTCAAAAAGAAAATAGTCATAGGAAGAGATGGTGGCACGCTCTTTAGGACAGGGTAAAACATAAATCATATTTTGTTGGATTAAATAGCTCTATATGATTGTGTATATATGTGAATAAGTATGGCAGTAAATATTTGGATAAGTTTAAATTATAATTTACTTAAAATCTTCAATGCATGATGAACCAACTATGTGCAATAGCAATCAGATGCAATGTTATTTAATTTTATTGATACAAACACGAATAATTTGTTTTTATATAATGCTAGTAGTTTTAGGCTTATTTTTCTTTATTAAATGGAGCATCGCAATGCCATATTAATACCTGCCTCATCCATCCAGTTTTATTACATTCATATGCTTAAAATTACTATTAATGCTTAAAATAAAAAATTAAAAAGTAAAAAAAAAAATTCGAAGCAATACTTATCTCCTTTTAAAAATAGTACTTATGAAATTCAATAAATTATATATTGACTGATCCTAAATTTATGATAATCTGAATACATCTCCAGGTTAATACTTTCTTTTAATATTTTTAAGCATTATAATAAACATTTACCTACCGATTTTCTCAATCTACAATTATAAAAGACTTTTGGGACAAACTTAAATAGTACTCATAAAGTTTTTTATTTATTTTTTAAATTCTTTTCCATGATGTTCATATAAAGCATTTATGAGCATTCCATTTAATATATAAATACTGACAATGCCTTTATGACATAAGAGTAATCTAATATTTTGAGAGGTTTCTCATTTTGTGTGATTCTACTGTGTTCTGTCGTCATATTGATAAAAAGTACTGCTGGAACTTTGATGAAAATGTAAATATATATATATACTATGGGACATTCCTTGTCACTTAAAATTTTGTGATACCCATATTATCGTAAAATATAAAATAAAATAAAAAAAGGAGGAAAGATTTTTAAAAAATTACTTTGCTGTGGCAAATTCTTTTTTAAATTATTATAATTAAAAATTATTATTTTATTTTATATCATTCATACTTAATCAACTGAAAAAAAAATTAAAAACAAAAAAATAAAAAAACAAATATTATAGCATTGACATAGGCTAAAAGCTTTTGTTGTTAGAATCATCTATTTATCAATTAAGTGTCAAACATTGACGTTTTAGACGATTTGAGAAAACTAAAGTATTCCTAAGTACTTAGTCATAAAAATTTTCAATTTAGGATTTACTCTAATAGACTATTTATATGTGAGTTATGTATGGCCTGAATGTTTTCGATATTTCATTGTTGGTGGGGTGTACTCTTGGCAAATTCTGAATGTGCTTGTTACCCATAAACCATTGAACTCATTGTGTTCTATCGTTAATGTAATCTCATCCTGTTTCATGCTTTCATACCTTCCCCTCCCCATCTCCCTCTGTCCTCTCGCTTACGAGGGAACGAAACCAATCATGCACAAATCACTGCTACTCTCTTTATATAAATCCACAGACATATGAAAATTCATTTAAGGCCTAATGGTGGAATGGTTAAAATATATAATTAAATAAATTAAATATTGAAACAATAAATAATGAAAATGGTGGGATTTTGCAGGTTTGACTTGTCAGAAAGTGTGATAGGGTTTATACGCAAATTTTTATATTAATTTTTTTATCTAATAGGCAACCGATGCAAATTGTACTTAGATCGCGGAGATCATGAAATGAATTAAAATTTAAAAAGATAATTTTTTTTTAGTTTTATTTTATATTATACATGAAAATATTTATTTGTATAAGAGATTGGCGTTATAGTTATATGTTTGCTATTTTTTATATGTAAAATAAAGATTATTTAAAAGCGAATAGACATCAGTTTTAATAAAGTTACTAATGTTTTGTGACTGAGACAACATTAAAAGTAATTAATTACTGGGCAAATACACTGTAGTTATGTGAAAATTATTGTCTTGTGAGGATTAGTAATGTCAATATAAAAATCAATGATAGATTAATGTAATTACATAAATTATTAGAAGGACCATTCATACAAAGATGGACATTCATTCATATAGATCCTTTACAATGTATTTGACCAGGAACAAGGGTAATGCTTACTTTTTCATATATTGTCTCATTTACAAACGAATATAGTTATATATATAATTTATAAACTATTATTAGCGATGATTATATTATATTATGTTAATTCTTAGAAAATAAGATATTTATTTATTGAAATGAATGTGATTTTAAAAATAGTGGAGATTGATCGCTACAAAATGTTTGTCATCGATGGTGCTATGTTCAACTTGGAACGCCTTCTCTTTAAATTGTTGCGGTGGTTATCCCCGATGAATTTTGTATAGTTTAGAGGGAGAAGATTATATGGAATAGATTCTTAACTTATTTAAAAACTGTTTATCATATATTTCCGGTAGTTTAACAAAAGTTGAAGTAATAAATGACAGTTTATGGTTGAAAATCTTATTGTGGAGACGGCTAAGACCCATTTGCTTCTAATGTTGGTAATGAAGGAAAATAAAATTGAATAAAGTGTCACCAGGAAAGTTCCTTCAAAAAAATGTGTAATAATTCTTTAAGTTTTTATTAATAGTGTAAATTATAGAATATTGTTATAGAAAATTTGCTCTATATAAATGATATTGATGAAAACTAGAATCGCCAAAATCTTTTCTGAATTATGTAGAAAAGATGGAAGCGTAAATGACTGTCTATTCATAACAAAAAGTTATGTTTAGTTTGTATATTATTAATTAAAATTATTTTATATTTAATTTATAAGTAACATACATATTCATGTTTGTATATTTCGAAGAAAAAAAAAAATCTTCATGCTCAGTGTCCAATAATGTGATTAAAAAAAATTTAATATTCATAAATCACCTTGATAGTGTGCCATTTCTGATTTCAATCCCTCAGGTTTTTCAAAGTGGAACCATGCCATGTTTAGAGCTAAAAAGAAGAAAAGAAAAAAAATAATTTTAACTTTTTATAAAAAAAAAAAAAAAAAATTAAAAAATATGTACATCATATGGTAAATGGATATTTTATAAAAATAGATGTATTTTTTATAGAAAAATTGAAGTTCTCCTGGGTGACATTTTATTCACAATGGTGCTGGTGCACTGTTTGTGATGCCACCCGTTAACCATCCCATTCTTTGGCTTATATTTTATTCCATTTAATGCAATTATATTTCCATTTTAAAAATAAATTTAATGATGTTTACGCTGTGCTATGTTTTAAATGATGGTGAAGGTGGTAGTAGATTCCATTTGTAACAAAGTATCCATAAAAAATCAGAAAAATATACAAATTTAAACAAAGTTGTAATTTTATTTCATTGTTACACATGTATGTATATATATTTTCCAGGACAAATATGTAATTAATATAAAAGAGCAAACACAAAAAAAGAGACATAAATTAAATGTTAGGATACAATTAGAAAATTCCAAACACAAAGGCTCGTCTCTCTTATATGCATTGGATATCATGAAGTGATGTACTTTCTTTAGTTAATGAGTATTTTTTTGGACTGTTGATGAAATTAGTTGTATTTGGTCAGTATACGTGTGATTTGGGTGCTTGTTGCAAAACAATGATGGATTTGTTTGATTATTTGCATTTTAGAGACTCAAGATTTTGTGTTTGAAAATTTCCAATTATATCTTAACAAAGATGTAATATTAAGGTTATTTAATATAAAAACGTTAAAATTTATCAACTGCTATGATGGCCAAGGTATGGCATATACGTTACAACAAATCAACTTACACATGTTTAGACATGGACTAATTAATAGCTATCACAGTCAACAATCATTCTACTGTACGATAGGAGGCTGTTTACTGAGCAATTAAAGAAAAAAATTGATCTCATAAATATCAATTTGACATGAAAATATAAATTAAATTTTTAAAAAACACTAGTTTTGAAAATAAATTATGAAATCCCTCAGAAAGAAAAGATAATCTCGCAGTAAAACAGTGAAAAAACAAACTATAATTCCTAAATGATTAAAATCCAATTCTTTTAGTACTAGCAGGAGCTAAAATCACATTATTTCGTAACATTAAAAAATACAAACGATTGTTCACCATTTGAAGAGGACAAATATAAAATATAATTAAATCAAGAAAATTATGCAGCATTTTGAGGAAAGGAACTGAAAAAAAAGGAATAACAAGGAAGTAAAAGTTCATCCAACGAAATAACTAACTTTTGAGAAGCAAACAAATTTTATCAGCAGACATTTTAATGCCAGAACATTAAATGTTTCTACTTCGTTAAGTTTTAGGTTTAATTATTAGTTTTCATTTCTCTTTTCTTTTTTTTTTATTCTATCGTATCTTTAAACTTAAAATTTTTATTCAAAATTGTCAATTATTGAACTGACAACCAAGTGAATTTTATTACAAAGTTTAAGACAAAAAAAAACATTTATTGAAAGGAGTGACTGCTATATTGCTATATTAAAACAAAGTATGTATTCAAAATATTAATTATTTAGTAATTGTGACTTAAATTATTATATGCCCAATTTCAATTTGGAAAATTTAACTTATATTATTATATAATGTGATAATGTATGAAATTGTTGCCAGCATTAAAAGTGATATTTTAAATTTATATTTAAAACATATTTATTTATTGGTAGGCAAATATTTTTGAAGAAATTGATAAAAGTCATATTGAAGTTTAAATAAAGCTAATTAATTAGCGTTAAAATTTTTATATTTCTTAATTAGTGTCTGGCAGGCTTTAAACACTAATTAAATTGAACTTTTGAACTCAATTTCCATTTCTACTAAATATTCATTAAGAAAGGTAGATTGTAATACTTACTAATTTCATCATTAAGATATATTACGTAGTCTCACAGGTTTTTAAGAGTGCAAATTAAAAATTTACTAACAGATTTCGGTCCGCGAGCGCGATACTTTTTAAAAGACCGTTGTGATTTAGTCGATAAAAAGGTCATCTTTAGTTTTTCGGTAAAACTCAAAGAAAATTCGCGGTAAAATCTTCGTTCATGAACGAGCGTTGCATTTTTTTTATTTTTTAAATGTGTATGTGATATATTATGAATCAATAAATAATAATAAAATCAAGCTCTAATGGCAAATTTTCATCAATACTCGTATATCTATTCGCACAGAGTCGAAACTAAAAAGGGGACATAAGATCTCCCATTTTTCCCTTTGGTGGTGTGCGAATCCAGAGGGGGGGGGAGGGGAGGGGCACGCGTACTCCCCTAAAGGAGAATTTTTATGAAAATTAATTTTTAGGAATAATATTTTGTTATATTCTGCATATTTTAAATAATTATTTTATTTTTTGAAACTCATTCCCTCTGATTGAAAACAAGAAAGAATCTCGTATGAACTGGAAAAATACTCCATGTTACAAATTAGGATTTACTGGACCAAGGAGAGAAACAAAGGGTCCCAAGATAATTGAACCCCTGTCAAATATGTCTTTTTTAATATATACAAAAAAAAATATTATAGATATTACTTAACTATTACATAATTTGTGTAATGTTATTTATACTTTATTTTAAAGTTAATTTAGAAGTTGAAAATTAAAACTTGTAGGTCAGGAAGCACTAGCGGATCAATCAAAACCCTCCGCTCTCCTCAAAAAATGGTAAAATATAATCTTGTCTTATGAAAAAAAATATTATAAAATTATCTATAAAAGTATTATTGTTCGTATAATTACATTTTAATAAGAATTCAAGAATCACTTTCAAGGACATCATTTCATGTAGATAGTTAGTTTCTTTTCTTTTCTTTAGAAGTAATTATAGTTTATTTATCTATATATATATAAAGCATTCGGGCTGAAGTTTTTAAAATTAAATCCAGAATCAGCTACTGGAAGGTAGTCCCCCTCCCCTTCGTCGGTCAGCTTATTTATAATAGATAAGTAGATATTTATAAATAACTGAAATATATCACTCAAAATTTTTTAAAATTCTTATTTTTCAATAGTAATTAGGATTGATTGCAGATCGTTTTAGTTGAACTCTGTTTATTCTTGGTTTAATTAATTTTAATATTTTAAACATAATTATCGTTACCTAACGATCTAAAATTATTTATGTTACGTTACCTACACAAATAAAATTATTTATGAGTTCATATTTTTACGGAGCTATTGTAGACATTTGGCGGTAAAATCTTTCCTCCATCGGGTTTGTGTATTCGATTTGTAATGAACGCTAATGAAATTACCTTGCCCTAGCAATTAGATTTCCGCGGTCGAACACAGTTTGCCGTCAGTAGTAGTGAATGCTTGTGTTAAATATTAAAGTGTCTTCATAAGTGCAAAATATGTTTACAATTTTTAATAGTATATTCAATATGGTGAGTCGGCAACAAATCCAAAAAAAAAAATGTTTTCCCTACACATCCTTTTTCCTTTTCCAATAACTATAAATTATACATTTTGAATTATTATTATATCATAAAATATATTTTATTTCATGTCAATATTTTCATGAATTTAAATATTTATATTTTTCAAGGAAGTTATCTATCTGTAGATCTACATTTCATATTTTCATTTGCTATTAAAATCAATACAACATAGAAAAAAATGCAGACATTGAATACACAAGTAAAATACAGAAACAATAATTCAATATGTTAACAAGTAAATATAATTGAGTGATAAGATTAAAAAATATATATACAATATAATAGTTATAGGTATTATTTAATTATGAAACAATTGTAAAGCTTTAAGACTAGCAGTAAGAAACTTGCCAATTCAAGCATCATTAGATTAGAACCAATAAATAAATACAAATAGTTTTTTAAAAAGATTAATCAATGAGGAACCAAAAAAAAAAAAAAAAAACACTGTTGGGTTAGTCTTTTATAAGCTGTTAATGTGAAATATGTTATCTTCTGTAGGCAATAATGTATGTTATGTTTTTTCACTTCTAATGATGCCTGTTTTAGCAAAACTGTAACTTATTTGTTATGTACTGCTATTTGAGACAACTTTTTGGATTGGAATCTTTTGGAGTACTGGTTCTGGTATTGATAAAGATGGGGGGACCCATCCAGCAAGTGAGCATATTGGTTTTTTTTCTATCCCCAAAAGGAATCATTGAGTAATTCATACCGTGTTTCAGTTTTTAAATGTTTTTGTTTGTTACATATGAGCAATAAGTACTTATTTGTGTAGTGTTAGTTTTCATTTTTCTTCTTCTCATATATTTGTTAAACGGTGATAAAATACTGTTTAATACAGAAAATAGATGTAATATTGTAGAGCAATAATAAGATTTTTAATGTTATTTAACATTCAGACACACACTCATTTGTATTTGTGATTGCACATTTAATTTATTCTAAAATTTCACATATCTTTTTCTTCTAATAGTTTATTTTACATAATGAAGAATATTTACTATATTTACTAGTTTTCTATGCAAAAGAAATTGAATAAAACAACACCACCATAGATTATTTGGTCTAAACAGAATCCTCAATGATTTAATATCATAAAATTAAAAATAAGTGTATTTTTGTATTATAAAGTCAGCAACATTCCTACAAAATTCCTTTTGAAGTCTGGAATTTTTCAGAGAGACTTCATCATCTGTGCATGACGCCATAAAAGACTGTTAGCAGTAGTGATGGACTTTTGGAGATGGAGAGCGAGGAAATCCCGAAGAATTCTGGAGATGAAGAAGGTGGAAATAAACTTTATAGCAAATATTCAAAAGAAAAGGTTATGTTGGTTTTGACATGTGAAAAGAATGACAAAGATATGTATGGGACTGAAAGTAGAAGGGAGAAGGAAACAAGAAAGACCAAAGTTAAAATGGAAAGACGCAGTGGAAGAAAACCTGGCAGGGCATGGCAAGAGAACAAGCCTCAGATAGAGAAGGATGGAAGAATATCTTAAATTATATTTAGGTCAAGGATAACTACAGTAGTGGAAAAGTCCTTAATAAAAAAAAAAAGTCAGTAACACAACATAAATTTAATAAGTACTTGTCATTGAGTGTTTGAGCAAGGTCCTAGACTCAGCACTGAGATCATGATGAAAACTTTAATTAAATCCTACCATTTTTAGAGGATCCTTAACTTCTAGTAACAGGTATCATAGATTCCGACCAACAATATTTTGTATTTCTAACAAATAATAGAAATACAAAAAAAAATATCCTGGTATTGATAGTCATATTATCTTGTTACAATTTTTAATATTTTGTTAAGATTTTAAAAACTGGTTCCAAGCATTTAAAACATCATTCGTAAGTGCAGAAGTAATATCAATCAGGCTGAGTGTTTTCTAATAATAAAAAAATGTGCATCTCTTCATTATCCAACTTACCATAATTGTTTGTCTGATATTCATTTGCTCTTCAGAATAGCCCATTTTAAAGCAGCTTTGCCCTAATTTTCTTTCAAATCACCAAATATTATTTCAGTATTAATTATGTAATCCTTTATGCAATACAACATGATTTGTTGAATCGTGTACTTAGGACTCTCTAGCTTTTGTTTCCAGCTTTATTGCATGTTTGTGATTATTTAATTATTTCTAATAACTATATAAAATATCTTTTGATAAGATACTTCTCTATTCTATCTGACTTACAAGGAGAGGTGATAGTCAATAAGTGGGTCATCTATTTCAACCAAATTTTTTTTTATGTTCCTACATCGAAAAATATTAGACACA